AGCTATCTTAGCTACGATCAAGTCACCCACCATTGCTCAGCAGCGCCCATCACTTACTGCTTACATAAACCCACACGCCTCCGGTCCTACGAAGTAGTCTTACCTCTTGGGATCAAGGATCGTCACATCTTATAATATTATTTAAAAGTATTATTAATTAAAAAGTAATTAAGTAAAATATTATTATTATCTTATTTATTAAAATAGAGTTACTTACTCTTATAAGCTCTCTTTAAGAGACTATTATTATTATATAGTTCTTTAAGAAGATAATATTATAATTACTAGATTAGTTTATTATCTATTATAATAATTATTAAATTATTTATTTAATTAAAAGTAAGAATCTATAATTTAAAATAACTTTAAGATATATTAATATTTATTATTATTAAATCTAATAAGAAATCTAAAAAAAGATAATAAAGATAGAATATTTAATTATTAATTAGATATTAATTAATAGATTAAAAATTCTTTTAATTAATAAGTATTAAAAGTTTATTAAGTAATTAGATCTTTATTTCTATCTTATTATTATTTTAAAAAGTAATTAAAATTAATAAAAAGATTAATAATCTCTAGTTATATTAAATAAAAATAATAAACTTTTTAAATCTAAAGATATTAAGAACTTTATTAAAGAATCTAACTAAAAGTTAAATTTAGATCTTCTATTAAAGAAGATAGATATTCTATTATTAAACTATTAAAACTACTTATAAAAAGTATTATATTATTATTTTCTATATATCTCTTTCTATTATTATTTAAAAGAAAGATAAAAAGATTAATATCCTTTATAAGGATTAAACCTATAGAATCTTTTAATTTAATTAATCTAAATAAGAAGCTAATAAATCTAAGAAATATTCTAACTAAGACTATTTAAAATTATATCTTAAAACTTAAAGATATTTAAAACCTAATTTAAAGATCTAATTAGAATTTAAATTTAAGTCTTCTATTTAAAAAGATAGATATTATAATTATTAAATTATTAAATTAATTATTAGAAAAGATAGAAGTTATTTAAATATATATAGAATATATTAAGATATATAAGAAAGATATAAGAGTTAATAATAAGAAGAGATAATTCTTATAAAACCTCCTACTTAATATATATCTATATTAATATCTAATATATAGTTAATAAGACTAAAAATAACTAATTAGTCTTTAATATTAAGTAAAATTATTAATTTCCTATTTAGGATATAGAAATAGCTTTAGATCTCTTGAAATCCTAGATTCTAGAGATCTAGAGGGGTGTGTCAGAAGGGGCTGGTCTACTAAGGACAACCCCAGGGCAAATTTAGTATGTAGAGCTGTCTCTGCCTAACCACACCACCCTTTAGGGCCACCCCTAAGGGCCGGCGGCCCCCTGGCGGCCTTCCCCTTTTTTTTCCCCTTAGAATTAGACACCTCAATGAATAGAATTCGATTGATCCGACCCTTAGTTGAAAGTAAACAGTGCGATAGGCGGAATAGTGCTTTGGCGTAAATGAAGCTCCCAGCCAAGTGTTGATTGATGGCCCCATTTACAAAGCAACGCTTCTCAAGGGTCTCTTTTGGGGGATCGTTCAAGCCGAAATGCATCTCCAACTGCACAAGTGTAGCAGCAATAGCTGCCGATGGACTGTTCGAACTCCAGGGGCAGCCGTGCTGAGCATAGCGGTCATGATGCAGCACGTACTGGGATACCCGCGACAGCACGCTTGCCATGATGTAAATGAGCGCGAGGGGAGAGCAAGACTCGGTCGCAGTTGTCTCGAGGCAGTCGCCCGTGAATGCACTGAGGGTCAGCCCCGGTTCATCCACACAGTCGTGAAATGCAGCCTCGGCGGAGGGGAGACAGACAGTACAGTCCTCGTCTCGAAAGATCAGGACGCGATCTTTTGCAAGCGACATCAGTTTGTCTTGTAAGAATAGAATAGGGACCAAAACACTCGACGGCGCTCTTCGCGGGCAGGAAGCGGCATCGAAGAGTCCGGCTCCTTGTGTAGTCTGGCAAATAGAGCCATGCGGATAGCAAAACCAAGCTTCATGTACGCGGATGTACAATGGCCGGCATCGGTTGGAAGGAGGAAGGCTGAGTGTTGAAGACTGATGTTGATTGTTATGATGAGGGAAGAACCATGGCCATCGGTTGCGACTGTGACTCTGTAAGTCCTGGCAATGGACTGGGGACAAGACTGTGTTAGCTCGCGAAGCCTGATCCCAAGGACACACGAGAAAGGGAATCAGTCTCACATCGTCTCGAATCTCTTGAGGGTATGCTCGATCCTCCCTAGCCTATCCTCCAAGGACGTGAAACGCGAAATGACGGCATTCATGAGCAGGCTTGACACGTCATCTTCCGTTGTAGAATCGCGGTGTTGATTCCGTGCGTCGTGTGGATAGACACAGGCTTGCGAGAGACGACGACAGAAGTTGCAGATGGGCTTTTCACCTCCACAGCGAACCTTCTTCCTCCTGCAATTGAGGCACGCCTGGCGAGTACGTTTCCGGCGTGACTCCCCACCCCCGTCGGAATCATCAGACATTGCGTGTTTCTCTGCCATGGAAGTGGTGTGCATCAGTTTTGGTTGTGCTTGTGCAATGAGACGAGTCTGGTTTATTCATACAGCTGCTTTTTGTGTGAAAGGGCACAAGAACAAAATGGAGAAGATTACTCCTTTAGTCCTGCATCCAGATTTCTCTACAGAGCAACCCCGTTCTCAACCCCGGACGCTGGCCGTAGCGCGAGATCTTACCCCGACTAGAGATCATCACGTCGCCCTAACAAGAGTCCCGAATACTGGGGACTCCGTTGGTGGAGAGGGCTGGAGGATGTCCTGACTGGCTCTGTAACCCTCGAGCACTAATGCATGCTTGATCTCTCTTCGGGACCATTCACCGGTACTGGAATTCTTTCACGGCTCCTTTGTCCGATGTAGTAATTACCTTGCCGAACCAAAGCTTCTCTTCTCGAGCCTCCCCGGGTCGTATGCTCCCAACACAACTCCACACCAACGCCCAGACGCCAGAGCGTGTGGGGTACACGGCTTCGTCGCCGTGTTGTGCCGTGCAATGTCTTGTTCGATCCCCATAACGCCCACCATGCGAGTGTCAAGGACGGTGGAAGCACGGCATGGCCTGGATGCAGATGATCCGTCAGGTAATCGACTCCGTAAGGGATCCAGGGCGTCTCTAGTACAGGGAATGTCTGTGAGGGTGCAAAAGGGCATTTATGAAAGGTTTTGATTGTTTGAGAGAGGTTGAGGCCAGACATAGAAGAACAAATATCTGCGAGTGAACGGACTTTACCATTCAATAAACAACACAAGTTTGTTTGATAAATCAAGAATTACCCATGACCGTCGTCCCAGAAGCTATTACACGTCCCGTTGGCTCTAGTCCCATAGATGGCCCGAACGGATCTCATCCGTCTGGACATGTTGAGAAGAGAAAGACTCCTAGGCGCCGTCGTGCACCCAGGGCATGTCTCTCGTGTAGAGCGCGCAACGTCCGCCTTGTACCAACTGTGGCTTGGACAAGGTCGAGTGTGTCTTCAGGACGTGTATGTTCGCTGCTGATGTCGCGAGAGATGCCGCGGAATGGGCATTCTTGGCTAGTTGCCCTGGTCTGACGCAGATGTCACCTCAGAGTTGTGGGAGGACTTGACTATGAGCCCTGACGACAAGGCGGTGCGTCAGGACCATGCACTCGATGAGATGGAAGTGGACCACCTGAGTCAGTCCGGTGGCGTCGAGTACGCTTCGGACCAAATGTTGAAGCCCAGCCCCGAGCCGGACTTTGAGTTTGATCTGTGGCTTGATACATCAGCAGGCAAAAAAACACCGTCTACATCTGAAGAGTTGACAGAAACTTTTGTGTAATACTCTAGACTATGCTTCATACAGAAATGATATGTATATATATATGTGCATGCAATACTCCCCAAGCAGTATACAAGCTCTTCAAACCTCCCATGACTCCCAGAACCAAGGCCGGCCGTAATCATGATATATGCCCTGAAAAAGAAAAGCGCAAAGTCGACAGCACCATACCAGCAATCCTTCTCATCAATCAGGTAGCAGCAACCACCGTCGCCGTACCAACCCCATCAGCAACGCCCAGGTCCTCCCCGTCCTCGACCTCCGTCATCCGCAGCGCCTCCTGCACGTCGCCGACGAAATGCCTCTCCCCGCCGACGAGGTCGACGATGCCGCTGTCCCGCATGAGCCGCCACACGGGGTGCTCCTTGCCGCCGCGCCGCTCCTGCGCGACGCGGCAGAACCAGACGCGCACGCCGCGCGCGCGGTACTCGCGCACAATCTCGGCCAGGACCTGCGTGCCGGAGCCGTCCATGGCCGTGACGCCGTGCACGTCGAAGACGATGTTGCGGTTCATGGCCTCGCGGCGCAGGCGCGGCAGGGCCGGGTGCACGCCGCTCGTGCCGTAGAGCTCGAGCCGGCGCAGGCGCGTCTTGAGCTCGCCCGTGTTGGCGAACGTCAGGGGCTCGGGGATCTTGACGATCAGGCAGCCCTCGATGAACTCGAGGCGCTCGGGCCGGTGCTCGGCGTTCTCGAAGCGCTCCGTGCCCGGGATGCGGCCCAGGATCTGGATGCGCGGGCGGGTCGAGTTGCGGATGACCTGCAGCAGGGAGAGGCCGATGCCGATGGCCATGCCAAAGTCGAGCGTGTAGAAGACGGTCGCCACGACAATGATGAACATGAGGCCCAGCTCCTTCCAGGCCGAGATGCGCCAGAAGAAGGTGATGTCGTGCGGCGCCTCCTCGATGAGGGACCAGGCGACGACGCTGATCATGGCGCAGAGGACGGGTTGCTAGGGACCTTTATTAGCGCCATATGTCCACATGGAGCTTGGAAAGCCTCATGGTACTCACCGGTAGGTAGTAAAAGTATGGAAGTAGAAAGATGATGCACAATACCGTGATCATGCTCAGAAAGATAGATGACATGGGACTCTTGGCACCAGTCTGCTTGTTGACTTTGCTTCGGCCGTATCCACCAAAGGCAGGCAGACTCATGAAACAAGCACCGAGCATGTTGGACGCACCGAGGGCCACAAGCTCACGGTTGGGGCTGAGCTGGAGCCGGGGGAAGATCTCTTGGCCACCGAGACTCTTGGCCGCGACGGACGACTCAAAGAAGCCTAGAAGGGCAATGAGGAAGGATGTGCTCATCGCGTCCTTGATGTGGGTCATGTGAGATGGCTGGAAGGGCCAGCGGAAGGTGAATAAGCCTCCAGAAGTGGCCTTTACGGGACCGAGAACCTCGATGCCGTAGCTCTGCCAGTCGAAATACCAGGCCATCCATGCCGACAACACCACGACAGCCAGGCGATCCGGGAGGAAGGCGATCTTGGGATATCTAGGTTCTAGCCGTCTTTTTGTTTCTCTGCTCAGAGTCAGCACCGAACGCGGGACAAGGCGGAGACGGAAGAGCTACCTAAATGTCATAATAATCACAAAGGCGACAGCCGCCACAATAAAGGTAGGGCGATGGGTGCTCTTCAGGTTCCTGAAGATAAAGCCCACCTTGTCGACCGTGCTCCCATGGCTGACCTTCTCGCTGAGCCGCGAAAGACCCAGTTCTGGGATGAGCTGCTCAACGAAGATGACGAAGCCAATGGCCGAGATGAAGCCTCGCAGGAAAGGCCGGGAGAGGACACTATCGAGGAAGCCCAGACGAGCAAGGCCGGCAATGAGGACGGTAGCGGCCGCCATGCCGGAAACGACACCACAGATCTTGGCGTGGAGGAGATCGTCGTCCTCGCCTCCACGACCGAGTTCGATGCTAGACTTGACCACGGTGCCCACAAGAAGCGAACCGGCTGCTTCGGGGCCGACGATCATCTGCGGGCAGCTTCCCAGCAGCGCATAGAGCAGCGGGGCGAAGACGAAGGCGTAGAGGCCGTGGATGGGCGGGACGTGAGCGACGTTCTCGGCCAGGGAGAGGGACATGGGCAGGTATATGCCAGCGAGAGTGATGGCGGCGATCAGGTCGCCGTGGAGGTAGGCCAGCTTGTACTCGCTCATCCACTGGAGGCAGGGGACGTAGTAGGCAAGATACCTAGCCGCGAAGGTCTGGTCAGCCAATTGATCGCTCGCCTGCCATATAAAGACGGACGGATTGGACACTGTGCTTACGTGAAGTTGGTGGTCTTGAGGCCGTGCTGCTCGGCCAGCTCTGTCGAGGTGCGCATCCTCTTGCTCCGCATCTTGCGCGCCCATCTCCTCCGCCACGTCGCGCGGTCGCTCTGGCCCGTGATGCTGGTGATGAAGCTGTCGAGGTAGGAGGCAGAGCCCTCGGACGCGCTCGCCGAGTCCGGGTTCGTGACGGAGCTCTGGTAGCTCGGCGCGGGACTCAGTGGCCGCGGCGTGAACGTGCCGTGGGCATCGTACGGGAGACCGCGCTGCTCGGGGTTCGAGCTGCCGAGCAAAGGGGAGGATTCTGTCGCGGTCAGCGGAGGATCGTGGCGGTCGCTTCTGTCGACGTCGTTGTCGTCGCCGCCGCCGTCATGACTTGCAGAGGCGCCGCTGCCGGCTGGGGTGTGGCTCTGTCGCAGGGTGCTCGGGGTGGTAGGGATGTGCGGTTGGGTGAGGGAGCGGCCGGGCAGCTGGGGTCTTCCACCGGCGGCCATTGTGCTTCACGAGCCAGACGACTTTGTCTGGAGGCATCAAGAGATGTCGAGACGGCTGGGTGTCGCTTTCGGCGGCTCTGTACCGACCCTGGGAGAGTCGATTGGGTTTTCAAGAGATTTTCTGGTTGGATTAAGCTTCAGAAGCCCTCGAGGCAGCGAGTACCGTTATGACGTCGTGTCGGTGCCGAACAAGTCGAGCTAGGGATGCATCTCTTCGCACTCGGGTCTCGGTGATCTTGGCTCGCGCACGCAAGAAACAGAACTCAATGCTGGAAACAAAGAAGGAAGAGAGCCCCTGGAACGAGAAATCAGTCCAGGCAGCTCAACAAGAAGAATGCGATTTGTAAAGGATTGCCCAAAGAGGGGAAATTGGCTGGATTCCAGCTGATCTGCCAAGGACCAAGCAAGGCAAGAAAAAGGCTGGCCAAGATCTGGGACACTTCGTCACCCAAGGAAAAAAAAAATGCCCCCCACTTTGTATCCAATGCAATCAGGGCGCCGCCAGTGGTTCAGGTGACCCGAGTTTGGGCGGGTTTGGGGCATGGGCGGTTTCCTCACAGGCGATTGGCCCCCTGAGAGGATACCTGTAGGCTGTTGGAGAGCGGACAGGACCCCGACGCTATCCCTAGAACGGGGGCGCCGGTTGCGCGATCTCATGCACGGATGCCGCTAATTCGATCATGGTGTGGTTTCACCCTCACCGTCTTTGCGAAGGCGGATGGAGCCAGAAAAGCCAAGCATTTTGGCACAAGCACACGATTCCACAACATCGTGGCGCCTGTCACTCAAAGCCAGAGTCAGCTCGTTGTGTGAACTTACCTTACCCATGTACTCCCACCGCAGCACGGCTGATCGAAGCAGTCGAATGGCCGGGAATACTCATCGATCAAATCAAATCGAGAGCATCCCGCTGCCATTTCGTCTGAGCTCTTTCGTATCAGATGGCACATGCTGGAAATGCAAAAGATCTGCGCTCTCTCTCCAGAGATGATCGTTGCCAGATACATGATCTCGAAGAAATACGCTTGGAGATCAACTTGCTCGTGCATCTGTATGGTGTGATCAGCACGTTCACCACTCATTATATCATCGTTTCCATTATCAATCCCGCCCGGTTTACGTACCACGTGCATAATTGGCATAACATGTGGGATCAAACTCCAGCTCTTCTGCTGATGAGTCCAGCATGCCAGCGTGCAACCGCTGCGGGGAAATCCTTCTCTCTTCCCGGGCGACTGAACGGCCACCCGTTATGCGTTGTCACTCACCACATGCATGCAGCAAGTGCTGCCGAACAACGGCAGCCAGGCAGGCAGATCGAGAGGGATTGATGGCCATTAACGGGCCTCGGCATTCCGCACCAATTGAAATCCCAAAGAACGCCTTCCACAAGTCCCTGCCTGGACCGAACCCATGCAGAAATATCCCACTCAAATGCCACCTGTTGGTTGTCGAAAATCATGGGGCATCCATTTCCATGACAATGTTGCATTGCAGTTACAGAGCAGGGAGTAATTCCGCTACCCGGCGGACGAACACTGTAAAGTACCACAGCAAAGCTGTCTCGGGCCGCGATGCGCTCAATTCCGCCATGTCTTGACCGGCTCCCTTCTTCCCCCATGTCTGCAGTCCTTGACCTCGAAGAAGACGTACGTCTTGCACAAACGTAAGTCATGGCTTCACCATCGCCGCTCCTTCCCGGAGGCCCCGGTGCATCTCCCAAGTCAGCCAAGCCGGCCGGTGCCGCCGCCAGCGCGGCCATCTCCACCGCCAGGCAGACGCACCTCCCCACCGCCGACGTCGAGGAGTCGCCCATCGCCGCCGCTGACGCGGGCGCCGTGCCCGAGGACGAGCTCGAGATGGCGAGCACCGAGGACGGCACCCTGAGCGCCTCCACCTCGATCACCTCGAGCATCCACCAGCACGCCTTCGAGAACGGGCGCCGCTTCCACAGCTACAAGTACGGCCGGTACCCGATCCCCAACGACGACGCCGAGCAGCGCCGCGAGGACGTCAAGCACGCCATGATGCTCGAGCTGACCGACGGCAAGCTGTGGCACGCGCCCCTCCCGGCCGACGCGCGGCGCATCCTCGACGTCGGTACGGGGACGGGCATCTGGGCGATTGAAGGTTGGGTTTTCCGGTTTTCTTTCTGTCGCATGGGTTCTTCATTGCTTGTTCATAAAGTCCTGTAAACAAGAATGACACAAGAAGTTTCGCGTTGATCAATTCCTCCGCCACAGCCGCCGACCAGCTCCCCGGCGCCGAGGTGCTGGGCGTCGACCTGTCGCCCATCCAGCCGAAGTGGGTGCCGTCCAACTGCCGCTTCCTCGTCGACGACGTCGAGGAAGAGTGGCTCTACGGCGACAACTTCGACATGGTGCACATGCGCACCATGGCCTCTGTGCTCAAGGACATCCCCAAGGTCCTGCGCCGCGCATACAAGTACGTTCGGAAAGGGAAAAGAAACATCGTACTCCTTTCCTCTCCACCCCCATGCTTTTGTCCCTCCATCCCGCTAACAAGGACGCATCGCATCGTACCAAAACAGCGCCCTCAAACCCGGCGGCTGGCTCGGGATGCAAGAGCTCCAGGCCGTCCTCGGCTGCGACGACGGCACCACGCCGCCCAACGACGGCCTCGCCGTCTTCTACCGCGCCGTCCGCACCTCCCTCACCAAGTTCGGCATGGACCTCGACATGCCGCGCGAGCTGCGCCCCCTGCTCGAGGAGGCCGGCTTCGTCGCCGTCGCGCACGTCGCGCGCAAGGTGCCAGTGGGCCCCTGGGCCGCGGACCGCAGCCTGCGCGTCGCGGGGCTGTACTGCCGCGAGGCCGTGGGCGACTTGGTCCCCGCCATGGCGGCCAAGCCGTTCCGCGCGGCGGGGCTCTCGGGGGCCGAGTGCGAGGCCCTGGCGGCGGGGGCGCGGGCGGCGCTGGGGGACATGTCGAGGCATCGGTATCTGCCGTTTCACTTTTGGACGGCGCAGAGGCCACTGGTTGGGGGTTGAACAAGGTCAGACAAGGTGGATGGGAGCCCCTGAATTGTTCTCGCGGTTTACTCGCCAATGAAAACAGTTCTCTATCTCATCCACTATCCTACATGTAGGGAAGCGAAGTAATCATCCAAGTCAAAAAACCCATCTGGCACCTCGACAATATCACGAAGACCTCCAAAATCATAGTCGATACCTTCAGTCATATCAACGTCCTCAAAATGACTGCGTTCTTCCGCAGGCTCGGGGTTGTCAAAGTGTTCCACGAGCATATCCCGGATAGCATAATGGCCGTTGTTCTCTGCCAAGTCCCGCGCTTTGCCGATGACTTGGCGCGGTTCGATGCCGTGTGGAAGCTCATGTATGTGGTGCAGTAATAAAGAAACCATATCGACCCGGCCGTGCTCAGAAGCGCCCTCGAGTGCTGTTCTCCCTTCTGTCTTCGCCGGCGATGCCAATATGTTGGCACCGTGGCGAAGTAGATACTGCGCAATTGCAATAAAACCATGCATAGCGGCATATTGCAGAGCCGTGGCGCCCGCCCGCGAGGCCGGCTCTTGATTGACATCGGCGTCGTGTTCGACGAGATATCGTACCATCTTGAGGCATCCATTCTGCGCGGCATACTGCAGCGCAGTGCCTATGAACTTATACCCTCGCAAAGGCATGGCATTGACTGCTGCCCCCTGCCTGACCAGCTTCTTAACCCATCCTAGGTTTCCTTGCTGCGCAACAATCTGGAGACAAGTCGATCCATTGACCGAGGCAGGTGGTGCATTGACGTCCGCACCGTGTTTGATCAGAAGTTCCGCAACATCGAAATGCTCGTCTATCAGAGCAAACTGTAGTGCAGTTGCACCGTTATCTGGGCTTCCTGCGGCGTTGACGTCCACTCCATGTTCAAGGAGAAGATGAACGACCTTGACGTGACCCCGAAATGCAGCAACCTGCAAGACAGTGTTGGTGAAAATAACCTCTGGCATGCGTTGGCCCAGAGCTTTCTTTTCAGCACGGTAGTACATACGCATCTGGTCGTCGGTCGGCTGAAGCTTGAAGTCAAAGAGACATCGAAGGAGTCGAGAAGATGGTTCTCGGGCAGCAACCATGAATGGAGGATCGTCCAGTCCTTCACAATCTTGAGGGCGTATTTGTAGTCCCCCATCGATAAGAATTCTGAGGACTTCATCTTTGTCCTTCCTGTGTTCAAGTGTTTCGAATATTGTACCTTGTCTGCCTCCCCGGAAGTGTGGGATGTACCCAGCCTGGATAAGAGTCGATACAATTTCAACACATGCTGACTCCCCCGTTTCAAGTGCTACTGTGATAGGCGAGGGGCAGACCTCTTTGGATGCAGCTCTTCGTTCAAGGATTGCCTTGACAAAGTCAATATTCATGATTTGAACTGCGCCAATGAGAGCTGCAGTCTCAGCAAGTGTCACTTCCGGAGTAAGTGTGGATGGCGCAGGTAGAGAAAGAATCCTCCTCAAGAGAATCTCAGCTGCTTCTCTTTCATTCGGCAATAACCCGTCAGACCCCATCGTCATGAGAGCATGCGCATCAAACGGATTTGCCCCCGCACTTAAAAGCAACTCGGTGGCCAGAGGTCTGAAACGCTTATCACACTGATTGGACATAAGTAAAGCCACTAGAGGCGAGACATGGCAAGGGCCCTGAGGAGCTTGCGGTGAAGGATGGTCTGGAGTCGCACCCAGACGGAGCAACATCTGAACACGTTGAATGTCGTCACCATAGTAAAGGTACTCGGTAAGAGGGCTGACACAGCCACAGTCGCAAATGTGCTGGTAGTGATCCTGAAGGCTTGCCGGCGCGGTTATGGTAAGTCTTTTAAGAGACTCATTACTGAAGGCGCTGTAAGACAAGCCATAGCATGTCAACTTTGCGCCCTTTGAGACCAAATCGCGTATTAGCTCTTCGTCACCGTACTTCACCGCAACGTTGAGAACATTGATCTGGCTCGAGTGGCCACAGCAACATTGCCCAGCCTCGATTTCGAACTTGGCGCCATTGTCGACTAGCTCATCGACGAGATCTCGATCGCCCGATCTGATTGCGGCAGAGAGGGCTGTTTCTGGAACGATGTCATCTACGATGTCGTTGACACCATAGCCTTTTCTGATTAGATCCCTTGCTCGTGGATGATCTTTCATGACAATCGCCTTGTGAATCGCTCCTGTGACTGCCACTGAATTCACACATGTTTTGCAACATATGTCATGATCAGATACTCGCAATCTTGTAGACTCATCCAAGTTTCTCAAGAGCCAAGACACGTGGCTTTGACGGTACGGATCCACAGCTAATTCACATACTGTGTGATGTCGCAGTATCTGTTCGGAAGCTATGGACAGCAAACGCGCGCATAGCCAAGGATTTTCCCGCCATACAGAGGTTTTAAAAGTGTAGATCGTGGGCTGGGCGCCGTGCTCAAGGAGCCAAACAGCCGCTTCCTGGGACCACTTGTTGGAGTGGGACGCGAGTTCGAGGGGAGTCATTCTTGAGCTGCCCCGAGGGACTACAGCTCTGTTGACATCTGCCCCAGCCTTCAGCAGTCGATCCACCGTGGATATAGGAAATGGCGGGTATCCCCAAGCTCTATTGTTGGCCCAACTGTAATTGTACCTCGAGCAATCGTGGAGCGCCCATCCAAGCGCAATATTGATCTCCTTCTCACAGGGGCGATGGGGTGGGTCCATTCCCAAGATTAGCTCCACTATCGCACACAATCCTTTCTTCGAGGCAATGGTGAGCGGTGAATGAGAGTCTTCGGGACCGAGATGGATTATGTCGTCGGGCGGAGTGATGTCTAGTTCTTGCATGCTGACTTTGGCACCCGCAGCCACAAGCTCCTTGAAAAATTGGCAAAGACTTTCGATGTCACCCGAAAGCTCTTGAGGCCATCCGACCCCCAAGAAACCAATTCGAAACCATCTGTCGCCCCATGAACACTTTCGAGACCAGCCGGAAATCGCAAGGGCGATAGCGCCAGTACAATTTCCGTACATGTAACTACCACGGTCCACATTGATCCTTGCGCGCTTACGGATGAGCAGCCGAGCCATATCAAACATCCCATGATCGAGGGCGTATTCCATTGGGGTGACTGGTTTCTCAGAATCCCAGAGACGTTTGATATTCGGATCGATACCGTTCTCTAACAGCCATTTGACGATTTCAACATCTTCAACCTCCATAGCGAGTTGGAAGATAGATTCGAGTAGAGCCTTGAAGCTGGGATGGCTTGCCACAGAAGGAAAAGTGAAGAAACGAGTTAAATCTATGTCTGTCAAAACGTCGAGGAAGAATTGCTTGTCCACCTCTCTCATGTGGTCCTGAAGGTGGTGGTTCGAAAGTACATAGATCAAGCGCTTCATCCCATCTTCGAGGTCGACTTCCTGAGGTGCATACTTGGCGCCTATGGTTAGGTGCTTTGTTGTTTCGGGGAATAGAGCTGGTGACAATAACAGCAAACTCTGAGACTCAATAAGAGTGGATTCTTGAGACGGAGTCAAGCTGACGGACACGACACTATCTACAACTGATTCCCGATGAGACACGCCCAAATTATCTCAAATGGCAGCAATAACTCACAATGTTGTGCTGCGTGTATTCTCAACACCTTCCAGAGGTCAATGAATGGTAGATTATAACCCTCACTCGGTGAAGGTGTCCGAACGACAAGATCGAACCCTAAAGGAGTCTGAGGCGATGCGGCTAAAAACCACATATCAAAGTCAGTCTCCAGTCAATGCTCAACATCATAACTCCACCGCACATTACCTCCACGACTTGCCGCTTCAGAGCTCGGCAGATACCCTTGCGTCCGGAGCACCTTGTCTGTAATCGGTTCATCCAGAAGGTACGCCGTGACTTCTTTTCTCTCGTTCTTCGCGAGACTCCTGTGCCTCTTCCTCGTTTGCTCAACCTTGAGGTTGATATCCTGCCAGTTCCTCTTCGAAATACCTTTGTGGTATGTTCGTTTGGTAAATCCCCATTTGCTTAGCTGTTTGGCATACTGAGCTTTACTGGGGATATTTAGCAGACAAAAGAATTACGTGCCAAGATTGATGGTGACTTACGACTTGACAAACCCATGTTCTTTCTCCATCCGTTCGATCAGGCCGTCAGGTCCCTCAAGGAGGCAATTGTCACGAAGGTACAGATCATGGATTACATCCTTGACTCGCTCCCATTCTTCAGACGCACGTCCTACATTCGCCAAGTGGTGTGACATGTTGAGTGGAAAGGTATAGAGCGTGAAGATTGAGGTTCCCCAGACGAGGGTGGCCGGGCTGCCCTTTTATGGTTGTGGGCGACTGCAAAACACCTGCTATCTAGAAGAAACTGCATATTTGAACCATTGGTCAATATCCAAATCTTTCTTCACTTCTGACGGGCGTGGGTGTGCTGACGGCCTGGATAAGCCCAAGAACCGCCTCGCTCAAGCTCCATTGGTTGAAATCCATATTTCTATGGGTACGGTGAAGGCCGGCTTGCATGATGCCATGCAGGCCAGCCGACCGATTGGATGAGAGCCATATTTCTGTGGGTGTGGTGGAGGCCAGCTTGCAGGTGCATTGAGGCCAGGCAGGCCAGCCGTCTCTGGCAACGTTGGTCACTACAATTGGCCGATGTCCAATTTTTTGGCCCAGCTAGATGCATCCTATCCGGGTTTCAAGCCAGGCTATCGCGATACGGCTGGGATACACGATCGTGTTCCTGTGTGGAAGCTTGATATGTCGGCCGGTGTGTTGCCTTATGCAGACAATTCAATGGATGTGCACATCTTATTATACCATTGGCTCTGGGCCAAATTATTGTGGAATGAACTCAACTCTGCACTACAGGCTCAAGATTTTGATCACCAAGTGCACTGACATCACAAAGTTTCGCTGTCCCAATTCAAAGCATCCGTGAATATAAATAAGCAAGTATCATCCCTCAACTCATAGGTTCTCTCAAGTTTGCAGCACTACTGCTTCTTCTATCTTACAAACCCGTCCGTCCTGCGAGGAGCTACGTCGACAACCTTGAGACTTGTATCTGGTAATAGATTCAAGATGCCTTCACCTACCTGCGCTGACGGGTCTCAACCACCCCACGGCTATTCACCTCGGTAGATATACCATCCCCTTTGATGTATCTCCTCTTCTGTATTGATTTAGATGCCTTCGATCAACATCAACTTGAGGTAGAGATGGCTAATGCTTGGACAATAGTAAAAAGAAGACTGTTCGTATTGAAGAGACCCAGCGCCTCTCTGACCTCTATACCGACACCTACGAGCCGCAAAATGTCTTCATGGATATCACAACATGCTCCTCAAAGACACAAGAAGACAGAAAGTCGTATCATCAAGCCAGAGTGGGCGCAATTCTCGATGAGATCATGCCAAAAATCACGGGCAATAAAGCATCGGATTCTTCGAAGAACCATGCTCACACAAGCTCCTAACCGAATTTGAACTTTCCAGTCCATTTCCTCTTCGAACTGAACATGACGCAAACACATCCAACACCGGATACACTATCCAGTGCTTTGTGAAGAGGCTTCATACATCTTTAAGGATCAAGAGAACTTCGTGTATTGGATTGTTTCTGTTATCGCTTGACATGGAATGGGCATGATGGTATTGAAGACTGAACTGGATTATGAACGGAAATATCAACATTCCCATTCATAATTGCGATACTGGCGTCAATTTCTTTGATTTATGTAGTACATGACTTATGGCAAGTTCGACAGTTTACGTTTCTGGCAGGATACTCAAATTCGAATGATATATTTTTTTTGCTGTTCAGGCTCCCATATTTACTCTCTCCAGTCTATCCCAATCGTGCATTTCGTCTTCTTCGCCATCATGGCTGCGAAAATACCCTTCTCGTCCTCAGGATACTAGCTTACCTCCATAAGCAGTGTCTTCTCCATCCTTCCCTCCCAGAGTGCACGCCGTGCATGTCCCTCTACCTTAACCCGCGCATTGGATTTGCCCCCGTGGTCGATACGGACAAACTACTCGTGGCCCAACATCGACAACCAGAGGTTGTCTTCCGAGTCGAGACACCCGCGATCGATCTTGAGCATCTTGCCAGCAGCTTCCTTTTCGGCAGGCCCTGGCAGAGACGAGGGAGACCAGAACTCTTGCCTTTTTGACGAGGTTCCGTCTGGGCCGACATCAAACTTTGACAACCCATACCCAAAGGTTTCGGCAACAAACAGACTCTTCCCCTCCTTAGTGATCAGTAGTGCGATGGGAAGACTAAGTTTTCAGCAACGGCCTTGGAGGAGCCGTCGGTGCCGACCATGCCAAATCGTCCCTTGTAGTAAAGTATGCCAACAAAGTAGAGAAGTTTAATATCGGGATCCTATGAGTGCCAGCTGTCTGCCCTATACTAGAGTCCTTTCTTTGAGGAGTTGAAAGTGCTGCGCAAGGAGAACCACATTGCAAGCATCCATCGGACAGCTCTTTCGGTCAAGGCAGCATTTACAGGCAGAGCATTTTGCGCGAAGTCGCTGGCCGAACTCCGCAATTCGGAGCATGCTCGTTGCTTTTCCTTCGATGCAGTGTTCCGTTTCGGAGTCGGAGGGGGGGGGGGTCCAGTGACTGGTCTGAGGTGAAAGATACTTTGCTACACCGCAGAAAGGAAAATGCCAAGCAATAGACTTCTCATCGTCCAAAAATGCCAGCAGACAACTACGAATACCCACAGCACACATTCAGGTGGGCGGAGATGACGCCCTGCCGTTGAACCTCCCACCAGTCACGCATGAATGCCAGCGGGCCACTCTCCAGTTCTTGGCACCGATGAGACTGCAACCCTCAGGCCGCATCGGGGTATGCTTCTCCGCACCGGCAGTGTACCGTCTGACTCCTGGTCGTGGTCGAGACCCAAGAAGGAGACCAGCTCGTGACTGGGCGGCAGCCAATCAAGTGGTGGCGATGCACCGTAAACCGGCCGCGTTCGCCGGGCAGACGCCGGTTTCTGCACGAAGGGGAGCCACCAGCGGCTCATGGGTCCGATCCGATGGCGGGTGTTCCACCCTGGAGACTATTCTGGCACCCGAAGTCGGCGCGGGTCCCACCCAAAGCTCGAGACTCTGTGCTCTGCATCTCCACTTGGTGTGCTGGTTGGGCAGAGACTAGGCCTTTTCACGCCACTGGCTACCCATTGCCATCCCTCGTGTTGAAAATCCCATTTTTTCTTATTGGTCTCGCTCCTCTTTTCCTGCTGCTTGGCCATGGTACTTCTTGTCCTTCTGCCCTTACTCATTCAACGATCATACACTTTTATCAGCGGTCTCCTCGCGAGGTTCCATTCTCGCGATATTATCATCAACATCACATGTGTACACCAAACGTAACAGAAGACAACAATGGCACTAGACATGTCTGAGAAACCAAAGCCCTTTCCGGCAGACAGCCAGGACACCCTAGCCGATGCGGATGATGCCCACCACGACTTAGAGCTCGGCAGCAGCCAAGAAACTGGCCACAACACCACGGACCGTCACCACTTTCAAGAAATTAAGACCAAGGGGCCCCAGGTTTCCTCATCACCTCATCCGCGCCAAAATGGCGTCAACAGCAACGGCGACAACGATAACGATGACGGGGCCGAGACCGACACCGAGCTAGACGACGGCACCGCCCTCGGCCGCCTCGCCTCCGCCAGCCTCACCCACACCCGCTCCGCCGTCAACCTCCCGCCCGCCCCGGACGGCGGCGCCCAGGCCTGGTCCCAAGTCGTCGCCGGCTGGCTCGTGCTGTTCGCGACCTGGGGCTACATGAACTCGTTCGGCTCCTTCCAGTCCTACTACACGTCGTCGGGCATCGTCGACGCCGACCCCTCGGCCATCTCGTGGATCGGCTCGCTGCAGGGCTGCCTGACGACCGCCGTCGGCGTCTTCACGGGCCGCCTGCTTGACGCGGGCTACTTCCGCCCCACCTTCGCCACGGGCGCCGTGCTGCAGGTCGCGGGCATCTTCGCCATGAGCGCCAGCGCCGCGCCCAAGTACTACCAGCTGCTCATCACGCAGGGCATCATGTCCGGCCTCGGCAGCGGCATCCTGTTCACGCCCACGCTCGCCCTCGTGGCGACCTGGTTCAGCTCCCGGCGCGGCTTCGCCATCGGCCTCGCGACGACGGGCAACTCCACCGGCGGCGTGGTCTACCCCCTTATCGTCCGCGAGCTGCTCCCGCGGCTGGGATTCGCGTGGACCGTGAGGGTCATGGGCTTCGTCAACCTGGCGTGCTTCGTCGGCGCTTTCGTGCTGCTGCGGTCGAGGCTGCCGCCTCGAAAGTCGGGCGCTGTCATTGACATCAAATCCTTCAGGGATGGGGAGTACGACTTTTACATCGCTGGCTTGTTCTTCTTCGTGTGGGCAAGCTACTACACATTCTACTACGTGAGTTTTGACTGTTTGCTACAAGGACTTGGTATTCTATTATACCTTGAGCTAACCAACCGTGCAGGTCGCATCATACGGCATCCAACAGCTAGGCCTCTCTTTCCAGTCGGCCTCTAATCTCGTCGTCATCATCAACGGCTGCGGCCTGCCCGCCCGTATCGTCATCCCCTGGCTGGCCGACCGAGTAGGCCCGCTCAACGTCATCACCTGCTGCGCCTTCTTCTTCGCCATCATCGTCTGGTGCTGGCTCGCGGTGAGCAGCATTCCCGGGCTGTACGTCTTCACCGCCTTTGCCGGTCTGCTGTCGGGAGCGATGCAAAGCCTGATGCCGACGACGATTGCGAGCATCACCAAGAGGTTAGACAAGATGGGTGTCCGACTGGGTATGATGTTCAGCATCATCTCCATCGCTACGTTGACCGGCCCGCCCATTGGAGGAGCGATCGGGAGTGCTACAGGGGGCTACACTGCCCCGCAGATCTGGTCTGGTGCATCGATGTTGGTCTGCATCGGCGCACTCTTGCTGGCGAGGTGGTTTATGGTGGGGTGGAACTTGAAAGGGCGGTGCTGAGGGGTGAGTAGAGAAAACACATCTCTCACATGAGCATAGAGGTCCCCTGCTTGGTATCCATGTAACCAAGGAAACCAAAGGAAAGGCATGATGGCCAAAGGCCACGACGTTATGATCACAAAAGCGTTGCATTTACCCACAAACCTAGACTGATTAGTCTCATCCAAGACGATGGGCATATAATGTAATAGATAATCGAGCACATGTCATGTCAAATTTGAGAGGCATCAAATTTTGGTTTGTTCAGAAGCAGAAGTCATATTGCTCTGTGTTCGCAACCTTTCTCAGTGTATCATCTCCATTTGCTTCCCCTCAAGCCCCGTAAAAAGGTAGTCCCAGAAAGACTACAGCTCAAGCCTTGGTAGGCTTTATCCCTGGAAGCGTTGCTAGCCTTCTCCTAGTCCTTCTTCTTCCTCTGTTCGAACATCTCGACTTGCTCCTTGGAGCACAGTGCAAGAGCCCTGGGCGAGCGCTCCAGGATGCGAGTGACAATGCGCTCTTGGAAGGCCGGCAAGTCTCGGGGCACGTTGTTGGGCGTCATGGGGTTGGTGTAGCCCATCAAGAAGCAGAGGAGGGGCTTTCTCCATTCGACCGAGCCCTGGAAATGCTAGTGTCAGTTCTGCAAGGAAAGGAGACGCCGGTGCTGGGGGAGTCTTTCTGAGGGAGAGGCTACCATACCTTGGATCCGAACATCGCCTGGGGGTTCTCAATGACGGCGAAGAGAGAGATGGCAAATTTGAGGTCACGGACGGTGACGTTGAACCCGTTCAGCAACTCGAGAACCTCTTTCTGCTCGGCATCAGTGAGAGACAGCTTGGGGTTGAGGAGGGGAGGCATTGTGATGGTTGAAGATTCAGTAGCCTCTTTGTCTGGGTTTGTTTATGGAGGTAGTATGCTGAGGTAGAGTGAACGGTCCGGTCTGAGGGAGTTTGTGATGCTACGAGAAGAGAAGTAATTGCAGGAAAGAGCAGGAATAGCAAGAAATTTATACTCACTGGGCTACAGACCTCTAAACATCATCAGTATGAGGGCCACTGAGTCATAATTTTCATTGCAAACAGAAGCTCAGTTTGCCTGATCAGCAATCCACTACGTGACACTCAGTCACTCACAAAGCTTGTCAATAGAAACTTCGAGATCGACCGGGCAGTCTGGTCAAGCGACACTTATCTCAGTGAATCACGTATCGTCGAAAGCCAGACTTGAACAAGTCAAGCAGTCAGAATGCCAAGAGAACAGGGCCTGACCAAGCTCATACCAAATCTCTACACTTATGCAGAATCGCCTTGGGTTCATGTATTCAATAATAGATCAAATATCATAGTACAATATTACCAATCACTTTCAATTCAACGTCTAGAAGAGTACTTGAGGTTTGTATATTACTAGATAGACGTAGGAAGGTCTTCAGACCGAAGAAAAGAAACAAGAGATATCTTGATCCATCACCCATCCCCCGGTAACATCACCTGAAGACTTCTCTGTCCATGTCTATTAGGGTAGAAATCTTGAGAAAGGGTTGATAAGCTTCTATCTCTCGCCCTTACCCATTCTAATTTCTGGCCTTGTCTATATCTATATTCTTATTCCTATCTTTATCTTTCTCCTTCTCTTGTTCCTCCCCCCTTCCTCGCCCCGATCTTCCTCCCCGTATTCATAATCGTACTCGCACTCGCACTCGTACTCGTCTTCATCTTCGACATTGATAGTCTCATACTTTTACTTGAGCTTTTTTTTGTCGGTGTTGTGGACCTTGGTTTTAAACACAATCTTCTTGTCACCATGTCTGATGCAGGGCACGGCCACACTCGGGCGGCGTAGCGGAGCCGCTGAGCAAGGAGGAGGATCAGGGACGGGAGAGGCGGAGGCCCCGGCGGCACTAATCATCCGCTGTCGCTGCCTGAACAGCGCTTCTCCTCGGGTGAGATCCCGGCACTTGCTTTGTCATTCCACGCCCCCGACAAGGCTGCAAGCGAGCACGGACTGCGGCAGAACTGAGACCGAGGGCGTCTTCTCTTGCGAGTTGTCCGTCGCGCAGAGAGGAACATTTCCGCAAAAGTCCTCCTTGTAAATCTCCGAGGTAGCCTTGCCAGTGTCCCAGTGGATGCCGGACGTCTTCCGTATCAGGCCGAAGATGTATGCGAAGTCGTTCACCCGGTTCGGGTACGCGTGGCCGAGCCCAGGTGGAACGCCTCCGTGGGGAGCTGATGCAGGAGGCTGCTGTAGCTCGAGAATCCTTGAGCTGGATGGATATCTCCTTTTGGGGTGCGGTTTGCGCTAGTCCATACTCCATGTCAACCGTACCAAGGTTGTCATGGCTCATAATCCTGATATGCAAGACCAATACAACATCCGAGTTATGCAACCACCGAGCGTGATGTTTGGCACGTTGTATACCTGAGCGCCGACCAGGGCTAAGGCGTTGGCAGCGATCCTGCATGCTATCAGTATGACTCTTCGGAAAATGGATGCGGATGAGGGCCTGTGGGAGGGCGTTGGAAAACCAATATCTGCCGGGCAGATATTCGTTTTCTAAGCGCCCTCCGCAGCCACCTAAGGCCAGCTGAGGGAGATAACTTACATCTGTACACTAGGCTGGTTCGCCCAAGATGTCTGGAGTACACTCATTCCAACACTCCCCCGTACTCTTGGCATCCTCGGTTCCAAGATCAACACTTCCGGTGGAGTTGAGAGACCATTCCCATCTTCTTCCTAAAGGGTTCAAAGGCCGGACGGTCCTGATTGTCGATATCCTCTTCCCTGTCATCATCGTAGAGTCCCTCTCGTGCTTCCGAGACCCATGTGGGTTCCTCATACTTCTGAGAGTCATCCGCCTGGACCTCCTCAGCTTCTTCCTCAATGGGTTGGTCGTGGTTGTATCTACTGTCCGGTCTTTCCAGATACTGCCAAGACGATGACTCTGCAAGTCGAACCCTTCGCCTTCGTCTCCGCCGGCCGGCCGCCTCCGCTTGTGGCAGAGGGTTGGCCCGAGGACGTACTGGACGGCGGGCGACTTCGCCACCAGGAACCCCAGCATGCCCCGGCGCGTCAGGGGTGGCCCGCGCGCGTCCCCGGTCGTCGCGTTAAATGGATAGCTCAGGCCGCCGTCCCGCTGACCCCCGAACGGGGTGCGATCTTCATATGCCTTCTCGACCTCTGCCTGTAGCTCGAGGATCCAGCGGTCTCCTCCGTCGCCAAAGGAGACCCCAGGGCTCGCCGAGTGCAGGGTTCTTGTACTCGCTCTTGCCTGGTCCTAGATCGTACCTTTGCCGTAGTCGGCGCAAGCGCCATCGATCTCAACCGCGAGAACGTGGAGTGAAAAACGCCCAGAGAGAGGCACAGACACCAAGGATCGCCATGGTGGCGATACAGGTGGATTTGATTGTGGCCAAAGTGATGGCCCAAGTGGTGGGAGCCTTGGCCCGAGCGCTTGCCAAGGCCGTCTCTGCAGCCACCCTCAGGGAGGCATCGGGGTCGCCAATATTGCCGCTGATGCCGAGGATGCCGTCAGCATGGCCAACAACAAACTGGCCTTCTTGAGCAGGAGCCGGTGGGCCATCGTAAGGGCCGGCGGGCACCGCCAGAGTCGCGTTGGTCGTGGCCTCGTTGGGAGCGTTGTTGTGCGTTTGGTAACAGTTAGTGCACTGGTTGGCGTAGTGGCTGCCCTTCATGGCCATCGTGCTGCCCCTCGCCTTCTTGGACGAGGTTTTCAGCCGCATAGTCGTCGTCGCCTTCTCCGTAGTCGGCGAGCAACTTGAAGTCGGACTCGACGGGTCCGAACTCGCCAAGCTCCTCGTCGAGCCTGAGGAGCCTGAGCATGTTGGGGTCGACGGCCAGGATGTCCAGCTTGCGCCAGACGCCGGCGTTGATGGTTGCCGGCTGTGTCTCGTCGAGTGTCGGGTCCGGCTTCACCGAGCCCTCGGCCCTCGTTGCGGGCATGTACAGGCCGTCCTTGAGGCTCGAGTACGCGATGTCGGCGCCCGTGCCGCGCAGCTTGACCTGGACGGTCTGGAACTTGGCGCCCTTCAGCTCCTTGCCGGGGTAGTCCACGACGCCGTCCGGCAGCTCGAGGGGGGTGGACATGTTGCGGCGCAGGAAGACGGTCTTCAGGACGGCGCCGACGTCGAAGACGGCGCTGAAGGGGCATTGTCCTTGGAGCAGGCTAGAAAATGAGCGGCCTTGTGCGCCTTATCGTCGTCCTTGTCCACGGTGAGAGTATTCGCTCGTGATCCACACGATTCATGCTGATGATCTCGCCGCCGTACGAGTGACCAAAGTTGAGGAACTTGCGGGACTAGGGACTGCGAAGGTCACCGTATGGGAACGATAAGCATGCATCTTTGATCCAGCGCGCTGAGAAAGATTGGAGAATCGGTCGGGAAGTGAAGAACGGTTGTGCTTTCAAGTCGAATGCGCGTCAATCGGCTGTAATCTAGCCAGCGCGGGTTCACACTTGAACGGGTAGAGCTGTCTGATCGCCTCCAGACAGTTTGGCACGACCCTGAAATGGGTAGTCGAGCTCAGCCTTGATGATCGCCCTGCGCCAAAGGGGCAAGTTCGTCGGGTCCGGAGGCCGGAGGCGAGTGGAGTAGGGGCGTATGTACCAACCATTCTGAACCCTCTCTACAAAGCACTGGGTATTATCGAGGGTGCAGTCTGGATTGTCTGACTGAAAAGCGACGGGCGCTATGTAGGGGAAAGTAAAGTCAAGTTCAGAGTCCATGTCGATGTCGGCCATAGACGGGTCGTCGGCATCAGTGCTGTTGCGATCCTCCATACGGTCGAGGAGGTTCCGGAGGTTGGAGAGGAGCAGTGACTGTACTTCGTCCTGCATATCAAACTCGTCGTTGAGTGTGACAATGCCCTGGACATGCTGGAGGACGGATGTGTTAGCAATAGAATGCGTTCCCGGATGGAGGGAGCCACTTACGGTGCGCATCCGGTTGACCTGGTCCTCGGTCATGCCAGGATGAATCTATTCTCGGGCAGCAAGGGATTGAAACTGGCATGAAGACGACTGCAAGGTCTCTCCCTCCAAGCTGTAGTACGATGACGGCAGGCAGGTTGACACGTCCTTTGACGCGGTTATATGGAGAGATCGTAACATGCCGCACGCGCCAAGCTTTCTTCTGGCTCGAGGTCAGTCGTTGAAGCTCTTTTGGATCAGGCTGGCCAGATGGCTCGAAAGATGGTGCACATCGGCGTGAGAGGGAAGAAAGCAGTAGGAAGCAGTCTGGCTGGCTGGGGTTTGATAACCGGCATCGGCCATGAGCACAGGCCGACGGCTGGAGTGATAGGCCGTCCTTAAGAGCCCTCGAAGATTGAAACCGCGGCGGCGAAACGGTTGCAGAAGAAAGCCTTGAACTGTTGTACAGCATCATGATGCTCCCCAGGAATAACTATGTTGTCGACCCAGATCCCCATAATGACCTGGAGTTGACCCTGTACAAAGATGCATGCATCATGTCTGCTGCACGGAAACCCAAATGACCATAAGGCATCGAGTGGCGGTAGAGAGACTCTCAGTGCGTGAGGCCCAAGTGAAGTCCGCATTGTACATATCTGGTCAAGGGCTCCCCGGAGAATGCTTCGCCCTTGGCTTCGCGAGTTTGGCCGGTCCCATCGGCGGCGAAGGGTTGGGCGATTGAGTTCTCCCTACAGACCTCGCGGGCCTTCTCGAGTATCACTATTGAGAGGATAGTGATCGTTGTAGTCGTCTGTGATATCGGCCGCTCCACAAATGGCTGCGGCGTAGAGGCGATTCAATTGCATCTCCAGGAGATTCCAGTCAGGCATCTCCTCGTTCTGGTTGAAAGAGGAGGCCTGCCTGGTCCGGATGGCCACGCCACTCGGTACGTGTCCTCAGTTGTCGCTTGAGGGTGGAGAGGGCTCTCTCGGCTATCTTGGCTTGCCAAAATGCACATAAGCGGCGTTGAGACGCTTCTCTCTAGCCCGTGCCGTTGAGCGCTGGTGTGGTGCACACGCCGGTGAAGTACGCTCCTCGGCCCATCTGGCTGAACCGGTTTTAGCGCCGGATCGAGGCTGCGTGACGAGGACATCATTGAGCATGGTAGAAGGATATATATAAGCCGAGTGACCCAGCTCACGTCCCACTGAGACAACACTCTTTGGTGATTTGACTAGGACGGGTTGTTCTATTGTCTGCAAGTCCCGTGTAGAGGCGTGTAGTTGGGGGGCGTTGACGACCCATAGTCTCGTCAACATGGCAGGAGTGCATGTGTGAGCGAGTTACTAGGGTGTCTTAGAGCGTGGGGGAGCGAGTGTAGATTTGCTAGATGGTGGTATCAATATATATAGATGACAAGTCAGGGAACGAGACGGGGGGGAAGAGAGCGGCGAGCCTACCTTCAAGAAATAAATCTCGCGCACGCGGCGGTGATGATGCCATGCAAACTTCCGAGATCGCCAGCACTCGTGCTTTTATGGGCGTTTGTGTGGTATCTGATGCTCGTGTGTATAAAGAAGCGAGAAAACATCAGGTCAAGCGTAGTGACGGCAAACCGAGACTTCTGAAGGCGAGCGATGGTCGCTGTCAGGGGGAACCTTCTTGATCTCAAAGGTAGCCTCATGGTCCTTGACGTACTGTTGGACAAGAATCGCCGCCTCGATGTCCCAGATGTCGTAGGTAGCGGCCACGAGACGGGGTAGGGAGGAGAGAGGGATGTCTAAGGGAGAGTCAATTGGGCAAACGAACGCCGAAGACAAGACGGACTCACCTAGAGGGTAGAGAGAAGAGAGAAAGTAGAAGATGTTGAATGTGTCGATTTATATACTCGCCTCATCCTGGCCACCTCTATAGGGTCTTGCACAAGCGACATACACAGCAGTGATCATCAACAACTGAGTTATAGGTAGAACTTCGAGAGATGTGAAGAGAAGGACACACAATCGATCTATATGAATAATATGCATCTGGTGACACTGAGAAATCTGATTGTATTTGCTAGAGATAAGAGCTTGCCGTGCAAAGCAATCGCACTTTCTTCGGTCGACAACAACAGCCAGTACTGGAAGAGAATCGAACAATTTGTGCGGGAAGAGAGGAATTTGCCGTCTCGTTTCAGCTTGTCCAAGAATGTGACCAATGTCCCGGGCTTGCTGTCAAACCCGGAGTGAATGACTGAGAGCAATCATAGATATAGCAACACATTCGTGTTGTTGACCTCCTGAAATCGAACAATATGTATCGTTTTCTAGGTCTAGCCCAGTGTTGAAGATTGTGGTAGCACCCTGCATAAACATCATGTGAGCTGGCCAAACAAAGACAAAATTCCCACTTTTGGGCCGGTTTGTTAACTTTGTATCACTGGATTGACGCTTCTCCGGACAAGCTTTGGCAGATGGCGTGATTTGCGAGTTCCATCACAAACACTGACTGTAGTAGTCGTTGCTGAATCTGCAAGTCGTTCCCGCAGCGCACGACTTGCAGCCGTTCCAATTCCTGCCGCCGCACTGGTCGTACTTTTTCGACTGGCAGCCCTGCCCACCCTGCCCTCCCTGACCTTCCTGGCCCCCCGAGCCACCTTGACCGCCGCCAGTCTGGGGCGGCTTACCTACAACGGTGAGAAGGAATCCATCATTAGCCAGTCTGAAGTACATGCAAACAGCACAGCCGCAACCAGGATCGAACTGGGAAGGGGAATGACGGCGCGCCTACCTCCACCAGAGGGCATCAGCACCGGCGTGCCAACCACGTGCGTCTCATCGATGCTGCAGACGTTTTTGCAGCTGCCAAACTTGGTGTAGACGGGGTCCGTGTTGTTGAAGACCATCTCGATCCACTGTATCTGCATGGCGGCCGTGGCGTTGGCGGTCATGTTGCCGCTCCAGCTGCCGCCGTCGCTCCACGAGTTGAGGATGACCTGCGCCGGGTCGCGGGGCGCCTGGAAGGCGATGCTGCTGGCGAACTGGCCGTTGACGTACCAGGTGGACAGGTAAGGGGTCCAGTCGAGGCGGTAGTGGGCCCAGCCGGTCCAGCGCGAGCCGCGGGGCATGGTGGTGTTGCGCGTGGCGGCGGGGATGTCGCCGTCGGCGTTCCACGAGGGCTGGTTCGTGTACTGGACCGCGTTCTCCGGGTCGCGGGTGCGGATCTCGAGGTCGGCCTCCTGCACGGGCAGCGGGCCCGCGGGCGGGCGGTAGGTGAACATGGCGGTGATGGCGCCGGGCGGGCCGCGGGTGCGGGCGAGCATGCGGATGGAGAGGAAGCGGAAGCCGGTGGAGACGGACTCGATCTCGGCGACGGTCTGGAAGCCGGCGGCCAGGCGGGCGGTGCGCATGACGAGGTGGGTCTGCGAGGCGGGCCGCGGGTCGCGGTCGCGGTCGACGTAGACGTTGTTGGGCGAGTTGACCATGAGCACGGTGGCGTCGCTGCCCGACAGGTCCGAGTTGTTCATGCGCATCATCTCGCTGTTGTTCCAGTTCTGGGCGGCCCAGTAGCTGGTCCACTGCGGCAGGCTGAAGTAGCTGCTCGCGACGGCGGCCTGGGTGTTGCCGTCCGGGTCGCCGATGAGGGGCGGCACGCGGGCGTACTGCGGCAGGTTGCGGAAGTCGAAGAAGAGGTGGTGGGCGAAGTAGTTGGACGTGGTCGCGTTGGTGCGGTAGCAGTTGCAGTTGGCGTCGGTGGTCAGGGGCAGGTTGGCCGCGAGGGCGCCGCCGAGGAAGACGAACTGGGACAACATGTCCCACAGCTGGAACTTGCGATCCCTGCGCGTCCTCATCGCAAAGATATCTGTAGTGACCGCTGGAATGAACGAGACTCGTGTTGACTATCCTCGGTGCTACTCCTATCCAAGCGTGGAACTAACACGGGATCTTGAGGAGGACATGTCTGCTCAGAGGTTGAATCGTTTTGTGGGCTTCCGAGGAGCCGTTCCCGGGACTTCACAGTGACCCGCGTGGATTTATAGGACGGCGAGGGAGCCAAGAGTGGCGACATGGTAATTAAGTTGTCCTGATTCCAGGGTCGAAGCGCATCCTGGGCGGACGCGTGGAGGCTACCGTGTGGTATGCAGGGGTCTTTGAGACGGCAAATAGTGAAGGGAGGAGGGAGACGAAGTACTCGGCCAGCCAACACTCGGTAGTTGGGCTGCATGCATCGTGATGACAGTCTGGGATATCCCTGGCAGGACCTAGGCCTTGATGCGGAGGTCTGGAAACGCCAAGACATTCATCCACGGAGCATGCCATGTTGCGATGAGAATGTGTGTCCGGGGTGCGTAAGCGGAGGAGGGCAGGGCGCAGAGAGATGGAGAGACATGGCAGTAGATGCGGTGCCGGCTGCACAGTTGGTCGTTGCACGACCCGATTGGCCCGGGATGTGTGAATATGACAGCGCCTATTAATTCCCGGATATTGGGTCGTGCAGGATTTTCAGGGCCATTCATGGCAGCCGTGGGAGAGATGGAAGCGAAGGCTACTTCAGCGGATTGCGTTGAGAGGGAACCGGAGCAATCACGTTATGAGCTGCGCAAGACTGGGCTGCCAGGTTATGTTGCGCGGAATGACGACCACCGAGCAGTGGAAGGCATCCTGGGTGAGAGCATTGATATGCTTCAAAATGGCCCAAACTGTCACGGCATCACGAGCCGGCAGCAGCGGAGAGGGGTAGATGCCCTCTTGATGGACGGAGTGAACATTGATCACTGTGTGCCCGTGAGAGCGTAAAAGAAGGAGAAAGTGGTCAACATTGACTTTGAACACGGAGTTAGGTAGACAGGAAGATCGAAGATCACAGGAAGTGTTGATTCTCGGCATCGGAGCAGATGATAATCAGTCGTGGAGATGGGCAAAGTAACCTTGAATACTTGGAGAAGCCACCGTGCTGCACGATACAAACACTGTTGACTCAAGAGTAATCTGGCGATGGCCAACATCGACACCGAAGCCGAGTTGCTGAGACACGACAACGACTGCATTTTCCATGGATGCATCTGGCTGCTTGAGTGAGTCTGGTGTTGCTGTTTCACACGGATCCAGTCTCCGGCAGACAACACATCTGCGGCCCGATGCCACCTGGCATTCTTAGCATCATTTGTGGTCAGCCGCCACGGGTTGTTTGCTCTGGTATGGTATGGGCTCCTCATTTAATTCATCGTTGGTATCTTGATGCACTGATAGAGAGAGGTAGTCAGAATGCCTCGGACCAAAATATTTAAAACAAAGAAAAAAGCTCCCGAGCATTGACGACGCCATGATCAACGATGGAAGTGGCCTCAATCCTCACCATCCTCACCACCACGGGTGGCTTCAATTTTAGTGGAGTGTTTCCTGTGGCTGGGGCCCGAGGGCCCTTGCAAAAACGCTGTGTTTGCTGGGAGTGGATCAGCATCACGTGCCAGGCACTGATGCACGTCCCCCTTTCTCCCTTATTTTTTGGGTGGTGGTTCAGTGCCTCGAGTGCGTGCCTTCCTTGTGTTTGGGGCGGGTCCAGTGCTTAGTTATGCTACCTAGGTACTTAACGCTGTGTAGTCACTGGAGGAGGTAGGTACCTTTCGCTTTTGCAGGGGCCATGCGCAACTAAGAGCAAGAAAGAAGAAGAAAAGCTAGCAGAGAGCTCCAGTCAGCACGGAGTCCTCCACGTCAGTGCAGCCTGTGCTTTGCCGGGCTAGTCACCATCCTCGACCACCACCACCACCACCGAAATCTGAACTTTTTCGATTTTGCTTTTTGCTGCCTTCAAGCATCAAAGCAAAAGCTTCTCCTCCCTTTCACCACCGCAACCACCACCACCGCACTTCGTTCTCCTCAGCGAGTCCCGATCGATTACCATCACGAACCCCCCAATAACAATTCCACTCGAGCAAGTCTTTGAGCAGCTTTCTACGTGTATCATTAATTTGTTGGTCTGCCACAATCTGCCTGTCTCTTGTCGCGACCCAAACTCAAACTCGTCTTCCCCCCGTCTACTGTTCGCTGCGCGTGTCGGATTGTAGATCACCTTCCAACCTTCCAACACGTCCCCTCTTGTCAACAGCAATCAGTTTGGCTTGCCACTTCGCGGTACTGCCGGCTTTTCCACACCAGCAATCGACATACCACAATGAGTTCGGGCCTTCCTTCCAGTTTTGCCTCTGCGGCAGCAGGCCAATCCCGCGATGCCAGAGCTGGACGAGGCGGGAGCGGCAGCGGCAGCGGGGAGTGGTGAGTCCTCAATCTCCTTGTGCCTCTTTGAAGCTGCCCTTTGAGCTGTTTTTCTTTCATTTGCATCTTTTGAAGCTGACTTTTCCTTCCCCTCCCCCCCAGGTCGCGACGTGACGGCCGATCCGCAAATGGCACGCTCACCTTCCGCCGTCCCTCCAACGCACCCTTCAGCCATAGCCAACAAGCCTCCGATATCACCCCGGTACAGACGCCAGCTACTGAAAATCCTCCCACCCTACCGCCCTCAATGCCTACCGACGGCTCTTTGCGATACACGAAGGAGCAGCTGCTGGCGCTTGCCAAGGCTCAGGCTCCCTCGGTGGACCTCTCCAGCCTGCTCGTCAGCGGTTGGAATCCGGGCCAAGTCAACGGCACCCCGGCGCGAGGATGGGGTAAAACGAATGAAAACCATGTTCCTCAGGATCCCGGCGTCTGCTGGGATGCCAATGGTCAGGTCAAGCCCATCGGCCTGCAGGAGATGTCGGCCGAGGAGAGGGAGGTACGTGCTACTTGTGCTCGGATCTTTTCGTGACAGGCGCAGCCCGCCAGCTCTGGCATCGATTTTTGTTTCCAACTCTTTGTGCTGATTTCTCTGTCAACAACAGCTTTTCTCATCGGACGTCAACTCAACCTTGAAACCGCCGCAGCAAAATAAGGAAGGGACTCACCAGGGAGGGAGTGTCAACGGCAGGAAGGCGTCGATTTCTCACGGCAGCAATTACGGCATGTCATCGCCCTCTACAGCCTCGCGTCCCGGCACCCGACGACGCGAGACTGGCGATACGAATCCTTTCCCCGGCGCCGGCCTCGCATCCCCAACAGCCACCGGTCGCTTCTCGCGTGACGATGGCCCGTGGTTTGGAAGGAAGAGCCTAGACACAAAGGAGTCGACCTTCGAGGAGCCCGAGGAGGAGCAAAAGCTCCCGTCAGCTGCCAGGGCGACGAGCGGCTTTGGCAATCTTGTGCGCGACCCTGCGCCTGGTGGCAACTCTGGGTTCGGATCCGCTGCCAACCTGTGGGGCTCTGCTACCGGCACCTCGTCTGGTGCTGGCATGGGCGGCTTTGGTAGTTTCGCTATGCCGACCTCGGCCATCGGCGAGAAGCGCGTGGGCCTGTCCCGTGGCGAGAGCCGCCTGGCGCACCTGATCCCCAAAGACAGCTCCGAGAATATCGTAGGCAAGGCCATTGAGCCTTCCGCCGACCCGAATCGCTCCTGGCGATCCCGCCCACGCACCGATACCGATCCATTTGCAGCCGATGACGCCCTTGGCGGGCGGCAGGACGTCAACTCGCCCCACCAAGGTCAGCCATACGAGACCCCCGTAAAAGGCTCGGCGGTCGACTTTGGCATGTCTGGGCTCAACTTGGGTGGCGAAGCGGAAGGCTCGGGTAGTCCCCAGACCAACCCCTATCGCAGCCCTCCTGAGCGGGGCGATCACGGCGCGGATGATGCTCCCGGCGATATGACCTCGCAGGGCCTCGGCGGGATCCCAGACCACATGTCGAATCTCAACTCCATCTCGCGCGGCTTCCCGACAGGTCCCTTTGACGGCAGCGACCGGAGCCAGACGTCGAGTGTTGGTGCCAAGGGCTTCCCGGCCATTAACACCTTTGGCGGGTGGCCTTCCACCGTCGGCACCGGCACTCCAGATCGGGAACGGTCTGGCTTTGGCAACGCCTTTGGGAGCTCGCTGTTCAGCCCGGCTAGCGATCTGCAGTCTCCAGGCGGCTTTGGTGGCATGGGTATGTTTGGCCCTGCGTCCACGTCGAGCATCGGTGCCGGCGGCTCCATGCGCCAGAGCAAGCTCGGCGCTCTCTTCCCTGCCGCCCTTCAGGCGCAGATGCAGAACCAAGACCAGGACAACTTGAGCGACACCGGGTCCGATTTCCGCCAGGTCAACCCTCTGGGTGCCATTGGTCGAGCGTCGGCGGGTCCGGCTCGCGACACCAATAGCCCCTTGCGACGCGGTGGTCTGGAGGATGTACTCTCCGAGTCCACACGATCTCCTGGTCCCTTTGGTACATCTGGCCCGGCTCAGCACGGCTTGACTACCACAGCTCAGCCCGCTCCCTTCCAAGGCAGCCAGCCGGCAGGCGAGCCCGCTGGTCAGCACCGATCTATGGTGATGCCTGACAGGATGCGCTGGGTCTACCTCGACCCTCAAGGTCAAATCCAGGGCCCCTTCACTGGGCTGGAGATGAACGACTGGTACAAAGCTAACTTCTTCACGCCTGACCTTCGTGTCAAGAAGATCGAGGATGCCGAGTTTGAGCCTCTCGGCCAACTCATCCGCCGCATTGGGAACTCGCGTGAGCCGTTCCTTGTTCCCCAGATGGGTATTCCCCATGGCCCTCCGGCCTCGTCTGGGCAGCAATTTCCCACCGGCGACCGTGGTGTGATCCCTCCGTTGGTGGGCGCCTTCCCGAGCTTTGGCAGGACCCTGACTGCAGAGGAACAGAACAACCTCGAGCGTAGGAAGCAGGAGGAACAGTTCATGATGGCACGTCAGCGCGAGTTCATGGCTCAGCACACCTTCCCCAAGATGCCAATGCCTGGTGCTAGTGGCCTCCCCTCGGCCCTGCACCACCATTCAAGCGCCCATAGCCTTCAGAGCCAACCCAGTTTCGGTAGCATCGCCTCGCCCATCGGCCCCAATCAGCCTCCGGTCGGCGCTATTGGACCCAACTCTGCCTTTTTCGAGGCTCAAACCGGCGCAACCCAACCCTCTGGGGCGCAGGGGGCCTCGGCTGAGTTTGAGCTGAGCATGCAGGAGCGCGATGTGCTGGCCAACCTACAACCGTCCGGCGCGCCCAACATCTTGCAGCAGGGCCGCAGCTCCGATGCCAGTAGCTTGCGCAGTAACCTGCCGGCCGCTGATCAGCTCCAGAAGGACACCCAGGGTTTTAGCGAGCGCCTCAAGGAGTTTCACAATCTGCGCGCCGCGCGTGACGCCGCCGAAGAGGCTGCTAAGAATGGAGGGATGGCCACGGTCAATGAGGAGCTCAACGAGGACCCATCCCATGGTCTTCCCAACGAAGCCGAGGTTGCACGCATGCTTGATGAGGCGCAGGCCGAGGAGCTCGACATGGCAAGCCTCTCCCTCACCCAGCAGGTGCAGAAGACTCAGGCGGCAGCTGCCGCTGCCAAGCAGCAACCCCCGCCTCAGGATGTCTGGAAGCAGCCTGCCGACCTACCCATGCCGTTCCCGCCTCCGCAGCAGCAGGGCTCGACCCCTATCGCTGCACCGACGGCACAGCGCACCCGTTCGACTTTGCCCGACCAGTACGCGAGCCGCTCCCGCTCCGAGACACCGGAGAGCGGTGTGGCAGCCCAGCCCCCTCCATTGGCTCCGTGGGCACGCGACCCCGGAAGCGAGAGTCACAAGGGCCCTAGCCTTAGGGAGATCCAGGAGGCCGAGGCCAAGAAGGCTGCCAAGGCCGAGGAGCAGGCTGCTGCCGCTCGCCGCGCCGCTCTTGAGCAGGAGGCTGCTGCCATCCGCGAGCGTGAGAAGGCTGGTGCCGCAGTTGCGCCCGGCCTGCCCACCACGTCGACCTGGGGCAACGGCTCTCCGGTCACCACCAGCTCGAGCAGCCCGTGGACCAAGCCCGCCGCCGCCAAGGTGGCTCCCGCGAACGCTGCGTCATCTTCGGCCTCGGCTAAGAAGACACTGGCTGACATCCAGCGGGAGGAGGAGGCCCGCAAGCAGCGAGCCGCCAAGGACCATGCTTCGCAGGCTGCGAAGGATCACGCCTCGCAGATTGCTGCTGCCGCTACTTCTGCTATGGGCAAGCGATACGCAGATCTTGCTAGCAAGGCGCAGGCTCCCACGACTGCCGCTGCGATGGTCGCCAGTGGCGCGGCGCCGCCTGCCGGCAGTGGCTGGGCTACGGTTGGCGCCGGGGGCAAGGTTAAGATTCCCACGGGCCCGTCTGCCCAGTCTCGTTCCGTTAGCACCGGCAACGTCAAGCCTGTGCCGGCTGCGGCCCCGGCCCGACCCGTCGTGAAGCAGAGCGTCAGCACGATGGCCAAGACGGACGCGGGCAGCGTAGCTATGGACGAGTTCAACAAGTGGGTGCACCGGGAGCTGTCGCGGGGCATCACTGGCGGTATTGACGGTGAGCTTTTTTTTTTTCTCTTCCTTCTCGTCTACACATTCTATCTGTTTGCTTTTCTACATTGTGGAACAATACTAATGCGTGCCTTGTTATACAGTCGATACCTTTGCGGCGACCCTGCAGAACTTCCCCCTGGAGCACCAGCTCATCGCCGACGCCGTGTACGGCAGCTCGACGACCATGGACGGGCGCCACTTTGCCGACGAGTACATCCGGCGCAAGAAGCTCGCGGACCGGGGCGTGGTGGAGAAGCAGCCGGCGGCCGACGCGGGCAAGGGCGCCGGCGCCGGCGGCGGGTGGAGCGAGGTGGCCAAGAAGGGCGGGGCGGCCGCCGGTGCCGGCGGCGGTCAGGGGCCGCAGGCGGGCAAGGAGGAGGGCATGCCTGCCGGGTTCAAGGTCGTCCCCGGGCGGAAGAAGGGCAAGAAATAGACTCTTCTTGTCCTGTAGGAGGAAGAGGATCTTGATGGGCGGAAGCTTGAGGGTGGGCGAGCTGGGTAGGAGGGAGGAGGAGTGAACGAGGGAGAGAAGAGGAGGAGGAAGAGAGGGAGGAAGGATAAGGAGGGGGATAAGGAGGAAGGAGAGAAAAAAAGAAAGTTTGGGTGCACGGCGATGTGATGTTTGAGCTAGCCTGCTCGACAAAACAGCGAGAACGCTCGTCACGATGGTATCATTAGTTAGCGATGAGAGTGTACGTACGTGTGTGTATTGACTAGTGTGTAGTCTATGTATGCCGCCCTGGGGCCCTCCTTGGTCTCCTTTGAAGGGGCTGGCTAGCGGTGTGTATTGATATGCGTGTATTCTCACTCCATATATTTCTCCATTCCTATTTAACGCAAGTATGCCATTGTGCCTGAAGTCGATGCATGTGTGCCCGTGGTCGTGGAAGTTGTTGTGCTGCTTATGTAAGTGCAGTCTACAGGGCCTGCAGTTTTATGCAAGCCACGAGCCTTCACAAAACTGAACATCAATTGAAGGTGGCATCGCGATAAGATAAGGCCAAAGCTATCGAACTTTTTTCACAACCCCACGATCGATAAGACGGACAAGCTGCGGATTGAGGCACATCAAACGAGACATCAAGAGCCGAGATTCTTTTCAAAATCGAACCTAAGCAGGAATTTATACGGAGCAAGAGGTTGCAATTTCAGATACCTGCAACATCGACATGGGAGCGTCGTCGGCAGCCGACCTCGCTGCCCAAGTCGAGGCGGGGCAGTATCTCGCCGTGCTCTCCTCCCCCGCGGCGCAGTCCATCATCAAGCGTTTTGTCGCAGCACATCTCGACCCCGCCGAGACGAAAAAGGCAGTCGAGGAGGAGGCATCAAAGAGCGAACCCGATGACGACGGCACAGCAGCGCTCGCCGTCGGCACCGCCGCCCTCAACGCCTTCTTGCAGGCCAACGTCACGGGCCCCGCGCTGGGCCCGGAAGCCGCCGTCGACGCGCTCTTTTTCACTACTACGGCTACTACGAAGAAGGAGGAGGAGAGGGAGAGGGACGCCCTGCGCGCGGCGTGCCTGCGCGGCCTCGACGTCGACGGCTCGTCTGCGTACGCGCACGTCCCGCACCCGGAGCTGTTCGCCCTGGCGCGGTTCGCCTTCGAGCAGGGGCCCCAGGACGCCGCCTCCGCCGCGGAGGGCAAGTGGATGTGGATGCGCCTGCGCGGGCGGGCGTGGCACTACCGGCTGCTGACGCAGCCGTCCCTCGGGCCCGGGTCGGTGTTCAACCGCGCCGCGCAGTGGAGCGACGTCCCCTCGCTGCAGGAGGCCGTCCTCGAGAGCCTGCGGGAGGTGGAGCAGGCGGTAGTCGCGGCGGCGGGCGGCGAGGAGAAGGAGGAGGAGGAAGGGGTTGTTGAGTTCCTGGTCGAGAAGGCCAACGTGCTGATCATGCTGGGCATGGACGCCAAGGCCCGCGAGGCGCTGCGCATTGCGGCGGAGAGGAGCCGCTTCGCGTACGCGCTGTCGGGCGCGCTGGGCAAGAGGACGCGGTGGCAGGAGAAGAGCACGAGCCAGCTTGTCGTGCTGGCCAAGAGCGGGGCGGAGGTGAGGCAGGGCGAGAAGGGAGGGGATGGCGGTGGTGTTGCGCCTGAGGCGCTGAAGTTGAATGATGATACACTGCTCGAGGGCATTGAGTTTAACAAGGAGGCCAACGGCGCGGAGGCGAAGGGCGCTGCTGCTGATACTGGACTGCCGCCAGCGCTGCAAGGTATGGCTCCTGATGAGCAGGGGCCGCTGTCGCCGCTGGATCAGATCATCTTGCTTACGGAGGCTACGCTCAAGGACGCCTTCTCGCCGGCTGATTCGCTGACTTCGGAGGAGATCTTGCCGTTCGCCGTGCGCGTCCTAGACGACGAGTCGCGGAACTGGCAGATCTACACGCAGGCCCTGCTCGTGCGGTCGCGCATAGAGATGCACCGCAGCCGCACGATAGAGAGGGGCGTCCTGCAGATGCAGGCCCTGGTCGACCAGGTTGTCGTCGAGACGGCGACAAGAGAGGAAGGCCCCGCGGAGGAGGAGGAAAAGACCGCCGAGCAGCAGCACCTCGAGAACAGCGTCCCTAGTCTGCAGATTACCGAGCCGGATGCAGAGTCGAGCCGGGACCTCGATGTTGGACAGCCGAAACCCACGTCCTTCTTCCCCGCCGCGAAGCCGTCCGAGTCGGCGCCGCCGCAGGTCCGGCTGCGGTACATCCACGCGCTCGCCTCGCCGCCGCGGTGGCACCTCGAGTCGGAGCTCGCGTACGCGTGGGCCAGCGTCGGCTCGCTCGTCTCGGCGCTGGAGATCTTCAAGCGCCTGCGCCTGTGGGCCGAGGTGGCGCTGTGCCAGGCGAGCAGCGGCGCCGCGGCGGAGCACGATGAGGATGGCCGCGGCAGTGGTGGGGAGGACAAGGCGAGGGCGGTGCTGCGGTGGAGGCTATTCACGCGGACGGACGGGAGGGCAGATGACCCCGATGCCGAGGGGGTGGACGTCTCGGAGCTCAAGGCGGCGGACTACATGGGCCCCGAGAGGGAGCCTGCGCCGTCGGGCGCGCCGAGGCTGTACTGCATCCTCGGCGACGTGGAGGGCGAGCCGGCGCACTACGTCCGCGCGTGGGAGCTGTCGGGCCACAGGTACGCTCGGGCGCAGAAGTCGCTCGCGGAGCACCTGCTGCAGCAGAAGGACTGGGAAGGCGCGCGCGAGGCGTACCGCCGGGCCGTCGCCGTGAACCGCATGAGCCCCGAGATGTGGAGCCGCCTGGGCGACATCAACCTGCGCCTCGGCGCGTTCGAGGAGGCGGCCGAATCCTTCAGTCGGGCGATCGGCGCGGCGGGCGACGTGGTCGGTGGCGAGGACGCGCGGACGTGGAGTAACCTCGGCAGCGCGCTATACAGTCTCTATGTCGAGACGGTGGAGGCGCTGAGGAAGGAGAAGGAGGATGAGGGAGGGGAGGACAAAGCAAGGGAGGAGCGCGCTGTGGTGGAGGAGGACGAGGAAGAGGATGGTGGCGCCGTGGAGGCAGCTGCGCGGGACAAGAAGAACCCGGCGGCGCTGCTCGCGCAGTCCCTGTCGGCGTACAAGCGCGGCGCGGCCATCGCGCACGACAACTGGCGCATCTGGGACAACGTCATCACGCTGGCCTCGCGGCTGCGGCCCGTGGCCGTCGCCGACATCGTGCAGGCCACCCGCGCCGTCGTGGGGATCCGCGGCACCGAGGACGCGGTCGACGACGGCACCCTGCGCCTGCTGGTCAACGAGGCGGTGCTGCCGACCCCGAGGCCCGGCGCGGACGCGGCGGACCACATGCCGGCGCGGGGTGGCGGCGGCGGCGGGGCGCGCGCCGTGGTCGAGCTGCTCGAGGGGGACGTCGTGCCGCTCATCACGCACCGCAGCGAGCTGTGGGAGCTCGTCTCGCGGGAGCGCGTCTGGCGGAGGGACTACGCCGGCGGGATCGACGCCGCGGAGAAGGCGTGGCGGGCGGCGGTCGGTGGCGCCGGCGTCGGGGCTACGCTCGGTGCCGTGGGGGCTAGCGGCGGCGGTGGTGCGGGCGCGGGACAGGAGGAGATGAGGAGGAAGAACTGGCTTGAGGACGAGGGGGCGTGGGGGGTCGTGGTGAGCCGGACGGACGAGCTGGTGGGCCTGCTGGAGAACTATGGCGAGGATGTCCCCGAGATCGGGAGCAGGTGGAGGGGCAAGGCGAGGAGTGCGGTCCGGAGCGTCATGAGCAAGGGGCGGGAGAGGTGGGAGGGGAGCGAGGGGTGGAGAGTCCTGGAGGGGGTTATGGATGGGTTGAAGGTGTAGATGTTTTGTGCCTGGTCTGGGAGGCGGGCGTATTATATTGCAGATGTGTGATTCGGGCGTGGTGATGGTTTGAGATCGTGTTGGGGTTCGCATCTACGGCATACAGGTCATGGATTGGTAGGTTTAGACAAAGTGGAAATCAAGGAAAAGCGCGCATGGCCACGAGGAAAGGGAGGCATCTGTTGACGTCTAGGTATTCCGGCAGAATTGACCATAATTCTTGATTCCCTGTTAAAGGCAAGAAAACACGATAAGAACAGTGCAGTTCAGCAGAGCAACGAATGAAGTAATCCAACCATGTCCTGAGGAATATTTCAGCTCGAAGATAGGGAGTCCTTTCCATAGGAAACACACATCTTTGCTCCTCGTATAATTGATTGTCTCTATCAGGCTCGCGTCTGAGCACAATCAACTCTCTTCCGTGAGCTGATGTCAACTCAAGGTTCACTGGGAATCCATACGCACATATACATTTGTCCTTGGATGTCTGTCCTAGATAACTTTCTAGTATACCATAAAATGAAGCTATCTTGCGGCTGTGATCTATGCTCAGACGTAGATGCATGTAATGGTTCATATCACTCTCACCCTGTAAGCCCCAATAGTCTTCTATAGCCATGTGCACAAGTTTATTAACATCACACATGGCGGTTGTCCCTCTCTTTCTGCCTGCTTGCCTTCCTCAATAGTGATGTACTTGTAGACTGGCCTAGCTAGTCAGGATCAACTTCTCGAGACCACTATGAGAGCATTGCATGAGTAAGTAAAACAGATTAGGCACAGCAGGAGGCCGGAAAACATCCATGGGCCACACAGCCCGTCCACACCGTCCAGCCAAACTGGTCTGGGTTGGCCGCGATTCATGCCCTGGAGGTTGGGGTGGGACATGCCGAGGCATCTTCCAAGTCCCACGTTGTGAAAGTTGGACAGGACAGCATGTTGGGATATTAGTACCATGTTCAGTTATTTCATCCATTCGAAAAGGTTACCTAGGTAGGGTTAAGGCTCTGTTCTCTTTCAGGTCAAGCAACCCCATTCCAGCTACCTATCCATATATATGAGCTTACCTTGCCTGTCGCAAGCCAAAGGTGCGATGTGACGTCGATCATCAAGCCCAACCTTGTACAAACTGTCCTCTGGATCAAGCTCCTTGCACCATCAACGCCCGCCGTCGGCGAGGCCGAGTTTTGCCCCCGGATCCCCAGGATCAGCAACGGTTGAGCTAATCAGAACGCGATCAAGTTTCCCAATGCGGGACCACCTGCCAAGCCATCTGCCATTCACATTTCATGGGTTCAACCCTACAAGTTCAATTGTCGGCCACGTGGATGAGTTACTGCCCATCGCTTAACTAGATAACGAGCTATAAGTAGGGAAATCGGAGATCTTGATCCAATATGAAGTATACATCAGACTGCGGGTTCTCATTGACACTAACTAACGAGAATCGAAAGACCTTAGTTGCTGTCGATCGCTAAGCTACAGATTTGTTTTCTGCGATGATCGTAGGAAGTGTGTAGGTACATCGACGACCCTGTCCCGGATGAAGTCCGCAAAACCCTTGCCCAGCGAGTCCAACCGAGAGGAGCTGCTGACTCCTTTCCCCAGGATTCCATAGATCACAAAGTGGACAGCATATAAATTCGGAAACTCGACTCTCTCAACATGATACTCCTCGGACCAGTCCTTGCCCATGAGCTGTCGTAGCCGGTCTCGTGTCATGAAGGTGCGAAACCAGGGCCAGGCCTGTGACTTGCGCACGAAAAGGCCAATGTTGAGATTTGCACCCTTGTCTCCCGATCTCGCCAGGGCAACATCTCCTAGCCTTGCTGCGGTGGTAGGCTTAAAGGTGTCTAGGCTGACTGGCGAGACCGTTTCATAGTCATCTCGGACCTGTATCTCCTGGTACTGTGGTGGATGGCCTGCATCTAATGATCTCTCGACTTCACCACTCTTGGAAATAAAATGGACAGCCTCCCTCAGCTCATTTTGAGGCACCTTCGCCGGATAGTAAGTATAAAAAGGCAATGGTAGACCTGTTCTGAGATCCAGCGAAAGATGGAAGCCTGGCGTAACGTTGATTAGCGTACTTCTATATTGCGTCCAGCCGATCCTAGGCCTATCCGTACCTGAGAAGTGCTGCATGCCGAACTCCCCGACAACCTTGAGAAGCTTTTGAACAAGGTCTGGTGTACGGGCTTGTGCGAACAAGCGGCAGTAGGTTGTGCTCGCAAGCTGGCTTTGCGGATCAGGCTCATTCACACCAATGACTTGAAATTCAAGCACCTGGAACTGGTCAACTATGTCCAGTTTGCCAAGGCCGAAACGGATCTGCCTCTCATAAAGCGCCCACTTCTCCATGGTCGCATATCCTGTCGCGTTGAGCAAGATTTGGGATTGGTAGCCCCCGCGGAAGAATATAGCGAGCTTGGTTGTTGGAGGAGGCGGCTGACCCCGAACCCCGGTCACCCTCACCCTGGTAATGTGCACAAGGCTGGTAAGCCATAAGAAGTCTAATAATGAATGACAAGAGCGACCTTACCTGTCAGGCCCAACCTGATCAATTTTAATACCATCCAATACTGCAGTGACATCACTGTTAAGGTATCGATTGCCCTGTAATTCGTAGAGGAACTGGCACTTAACGGTATCCTCGGTCACCAGCCCCTTGGTATTGGCGTGCTTGCAAATAACGGTAGTGCCGTCTGACTCGATAGCAGCAATGGGGAAGGGCAGGTCGAGAAGCTGTTCGGGATCCACCTCATAAAAGGCTGCATAGTTGGCTCCGGTCACATAGGCTGAACACTCGATCAGATGGCCTGCGACCAGCGCCTGCGCCAACTCGTCATAGCTGGTCTCGGACCATGAATGCCAGAACCATGCCGCCCCGATGACGGGAGAAGCATCAGCAACGCGTCCGCAAATGATGATATCCGCGCCGGCCTCGAGACCTCTCACTATCGCTCTGGCTCCCAGATACGCGTTGGCTGACACGATCGAATCCGACGAGGGCTTCTCTGCGAAGCTCTGTATAGCTGGATCGATGGGAACTTTGGAATTCGCGGCATCGAAATGATCAGGCACAGAGTGGAGTTTGTCAATATCTTCCTTAACTTGTTCGAAAAGATCGTCTCCGGAGACAAAGGCAATCCTTAGGTCCAGGCCCCAGTCAGACGACTATCATGTGTTTTCTCGAGGTTAGCTACGCAGTGTTGACGAATGTGGATACAGACAAGTCATTTACCAGTTTCATTGTCTCCTGAGCAAGTCCGCGAGGGTTGAGCGATCCGCCGTTGATCACAATTTTGATGCCTTTCTGGGCAGCCAACTGTAGGGTCTCACGAAGCCCCTGGAGTGCGAAAGGTTCATAGCCGGGATGCTGGCCTTTCCGATATGTCTCGGCATGCTCCGCCATGTTCATTTCTGGGCGTGGCTCTCGTTTAGCCATTCAGCATTTTTCTGCGCTTGGGGAAACTCGCCTACCTGCAAGATAGTCTCCTGTGATGAAGTCGACATCTCCTAGTTCTGCCTGACGTCTCATTTGGTATCCGGGATCTCCTGGCCATTTTGTTAAAATCTCAGGTACAGTCCAGCGAGACATTCAAGCTGGGTCGTGTCGCCTACCTCGCGCTCCAGAACAGTTCGCAATCCGGACTTCCCGCAGACCACGCTCCTCCCACCTGTCAGGACGACCTCCAGATACTTGATTCATTTTTACTTTTAGCAATATTCGTCGTGTTGTAATGCGTGATGCAGTTCAATCCTGGGGTTTGATCTGGCAATTTTGATCCAACCCTCTGCTATTGGTTTCCACGCCACTCGAGAAGTTTAGCAGTTTGGGCCCTAGCTTGTATATACACGCTCGGCACACCGGAAGTTCAAAGAGCGGGTGTCGGATATTCACTGACAAACTACTGAAGGAATTGACAAATTATATGGTTTGTCAATGACAGTCTCCTCACTTGTAAGGTAAGGTTAGTTCGTTGGACCCACAGGAGCCGAGGCATCATCTCAACCCCGTGGACGGCGAAACAGCGCGAGGGGTATGTCTTTGCTCCAGCCGCCTTGCCGCCAACATCAACTTTCATAGAGACCCAGTCTGGGACCTCCGGAGGTTAGACACCCTTCCTATAGTTCTTCCAAGTCCAGGAACCAGCTTGTCCATGCTTCCAAAGTCACAGCCAAGCAAAACAACATTATTTACACTGCCCACCATGTCACAGGAGACTTATTCGGTACCGGAACAAGCTGCTGGAGTATTCAAAACGGGAATACTCGAAAACCCTCTGATTGCAAAATCGCTGCCACCAGAAATCACAGAATGTGCAGCTGCGATTCGTTTCGAGGGGTCTGAAACTCCTTCGATCCCAATCATCTGGCGATTTGCCGAGAGCATCTCGGCACTTAAGGCTCTCGAAGCATCAATGCTCAATGTGCTTTTAGTACGAAAATATGGCATTAGTCCACCCCGTGTGATCATCAATACGTATGTCAAGCTAGCAAAGAAGATGGCAACAGGTGCCAAACAATACTGATTTGGCTCCCCCATCAGGGATCATGCGCAACTGTTCTTCATGTCGACATTAATCTTCACGATAGATCCAAAAGGCTCGGCTCTTTCTCTCGCGTCTCTTTCGTCTAGTGAGGGACGCAAAGCATTTGAGAAATGTTTTCCCAGGTGAGTTGGTGCGAAGGCGTTTGAAACGCATGCAATGTTCAACTAACCCACCACGACTTGGTTCATAGTTGGGACAAAGGGAACGCTTTCAGAGACCCGTACCGCGTCGCTGCCACCAACATATATCAGACCCAGGACAAGCGGTTCTTTCACTTGCACGGTATCTGAAACCCCCGTGAACGGTCAACGAAGTCTCTAGACACTAATGAAGGAATGAATAGGCAGTCTGAATCCGGACCACACTCTGCGCAGTTTGGGTATGCCGCTTGAAGGTAAGGCTGCGTCGAGTGATGAGGCTATTCAACCCTTCATTCAAGCAGTTGGCCAGAAGACAGCGGAAGAGCTGGATCGGCTGGAGAACGAAGAATACCGCCAAGCTGGGACGATCTGCTACACCAGTGAGGAATACTTCAACACCGAGCACGGAAAGGCCAACGCGCACGTGGGGTTGTATGAGCTCAAGGAGATCAAAAACTCTTTGCAAGCTCCATGCTGGTGGACAGACAACTCGCAAACGTCCCCAAAGCGACCCCTTGGTGGGTTGAAGGTGGTTGACTTGACCCGCATCATCGCGGCCCCAGCCATCTCAAGAGGACTCGCAGAGCTTGGGGCAAGCGTTATGCGCATCACATGCCCTCGCCTTCCTGACTATTCCCTGTTGCATCAGGATCTTAACTGGGGCAAATGGAATGCCTGTCTGGACTTCACTCTTGAAGACGATAGGAAGAAGATGAGGCAGCTGATTCTCGAAGCGGATGTGGTTGTGCTGGGGTACCGGCCTGGGGTGCTTGATAAGTTTGGATTTGATGCTGATAGCATCATCCGTCTTTGTGAAGGACGTGATAGGGGTATTGTAGTCGTTAGGGAGAATTGCTATGGGTGGCATGGTCCTTGGGCAGGCCGAAGCGGATGGCAGCAAATCAGCGATGCAGTAAGTCGTTTCCGAGCCCATTCCCGCAGAAAGCCATGTCTGACTGTACAGTGCTGTGGTGTTTCGATGGAGTTCGGGCGCGCCATGGGCTACGATGAGCCTGTGACTCCTGTGTTCCCTAATAGCGACTATTGCACCGGTGTTATCGGCACAGTTGGTGTCCTGGACAGTCTGCTTAGACGTGCGAAGGACGGAGGGTCATACATGATCAATGTGAGCATCTTTGTTTCAAATGGCTTGAAACACACATTGGGTATGAAGCTAAATGTCTATCTAGGCTGCTCTGAATTACTACTCGCAGTGGCTTGTGAGATCCTGCGGGACCTATTCACGAGACGTCTGGGATGATCTCTGGGCCCGAAATGGAAACCCCAAGTTCCGCCACTATCATACCATGGGCAATATGACACCTGCTTTCCTAGGAATGATGAAAAGGTTCCATGCAGACAAACTGCTCCGTCCGGAATTCTTTGAAGAGAGGCACTGCCGAAGCATCGGGTACGACATAAAGACTGTCAAGCCTGTTCTTCAATATCCAGATGGACAAGTTGAGCCAAAGTATGACAAGGGTACAAGGACTAATGGGACGGATCGGCCTTGCTGGCCAGAGGACTTGACTAGTGAATTTGTACTATGAAAGCTTCTCAGAGCAATCTTGTCAATCGGTATCATGTGGCATCTTGAATACGATGGCTATTTGAACATACAGAATGCAAAACTATTCCCTTTCCATTCTTAGTGGTGACTTCTGTGAGCCTTTTTCAGTGTCTGTCTTATTGAGATTGTGTACTGGGGTACAAGGGATGATGCCTGTTATCCTAGGTGAATCGTCCCAGACAAACATCGCAACCTGGTTACCGGTCTGGATTGGTTCATAATGGAGCCTTGTGCCGGCATCATTGCTGGTCTAGGCTAGTTAAATCGCTCATGAGAGCTCTACAAGCCTCGGCTACACTCTACTAACACTCTCTCTGTTCGCACCATGCAAGCCAGGCTTCATGGCGTTGGACCAGTCCGATGCGAACGCGTTCCAGCTTATTTACCTTCTCAGTATCCCCTTTGGAGCCTGTGCCATTGCCGCAGCTCTGCTATAAGCTCTACACGCGGATGACGGCGGCAGTGGTGCGACAACTCCATATCGACATGCATGTCAAGCTGCCAGTGGGTGCCCACTACCACGACCACCACAAGGCTGAAGTCGAGAAAGCTACTGCATCCGAGGTCCAGTAGGATAGGAAAAGGGCAACGCTAGGGGTATTTCGCATGAGCAGGTCTCATGACCCTGGCACAGCTTCAAGGAAGCGGGAAGATGTGTCCAGGGTGCCATCACGGGCTTGTTCATAGTTCTGTTCTTATTTTTGCAGCAGCTCAGAAGTATCTGGAGGGGTTGTTCTTGAATGGGAAAGTCTGTATATGTGTGCCTTTGTGTGTGCCTCATTTAGTTATTGACTGCCTTACTTATTTCTCAAGAATGTCGAGATACATGTGAAACACCTCATGATTCGTTAGAAATGCTCCACTCCGGGTCCCGGCTAGGTACGGAGGCATTCATGGGGCACAGGATGCCTAGTGGTTGATCTAAAGGGCGGTGTGTGTTCAGGCAGCAACAAGCCCCGGGGGCTGTGTCTATCTGGCCAGTTATTCCCGACAGAAGGGAGCTTGAAAAACGTACGACGACAGTGTCTAGAGCTCTCACGACCTTCTCAGTTGATGACGACGACCTTGATTGATACTATCTCTCTCCATCTCGACATCTTTACGAGTTGTGTTTTCAAAGACTGATACCATGCTTTGCAAGATCTGCAAGGAAGGACTGGAGGGAATATGGGATCCTAGTCGAAGCAGTCGACTTGCGCTGCTCAAGGACTATTTGGAAAATGAAGACGAAGACGATGGCGCCGGTAATGAGCCCGATAATACCCATGGCTCAGGTGCTACCGGTAAGCGTGAAGAGCCCTTTTAATCACATTGATTGGACGTTCTCGGCAGCCAGGTCTTTGAACTAATGAGCAGACACAGATAGCCCGGCCAGAAACGGAGCCTTTGATTACGTATATGGTCACCACAAGGACAGAGATTCGTTCTTAGCTTCGATGCAAGAGGGATGCGCCATGTGCAACCGCTTTCAGCCCGGGCAAGGACTGGATGCAGGTGACAACCCCAAGATTCAGGAGCTTGGCTACTTCTCTGTGTTCTACCTTATGATTCATCCAGAAGCCGCCGTGACAAAGCCAGTCATGATGGTTGATGTGGAAAACTCATGCGGCGGGTTTGACTTTGTCCCATATGGAGGTAAGACGGCTTCATTCATCACAGAGTTACGCTAGCTGGAGGGCATCCAGAAACTTACAAAATCGTGGAGCAGACCCAAAATACGACCAAAACATCAACTTTGATTTTGGGCAGTCAAACTATGACTCCAAGGCATGGTCCATCGTGGAGAAATGGATGAGCACTTGTCTCAATTCTCATCCCCAATGCAAACTGATTGAGGCACCGAGTTCATACCGACCCACTCGGCTGCTCAAGATTGATAAACCTGGTACATTTCGTATCGTCCTGGGTACCGACTGCCCTCCGGCTCTTCAGTATGTAACCTTGAGCCATTGCTGGGGTGCAAAGCCCGTTGAACGCCTGCTATGCCTGCTGAAGTCGACGGCCGAGGACTTGGGCCGGGAGCAATCAGTCGACAATCTCCCAAAGACCTTCAGAGATGCGGTCGACATCGCTCGGCACTTTGACGTCGATTATCTCTGGATAGACCGCCTCTGCATCTTTCAAGACTCTGCCGAGGAATGGAGGAGGGAAGCGGCTACCATGCAAGACGTGTACCGAAACGCACTCTTCAGCATCGCGGCGCTGGGGGCCAAGGACGACGAGGGCGGCTGCTTCTTTGAGCGGGACCCGGCCAAGACGGCGCCGACGGTTGTCCGGTTCAAGCTGACCGAAGACGGGGAAGAGAAGGCGTTCAGGTTTGGCCTCGAAGAGGGCTGGTCATGGCGTCTATCCTTCGAGCACGAGCCTCTGGTGCAGCGATCCTGGGTCGTCCAGGAACGGCTCCTCACCCCACGAACTCTGCATTTCGGGTCCAAGCAGCTATTCTGGGAGTGCCGTGAAATGGCATGCTGTGAAATGCATCCCCAGAGTGTCTACTGCTACAGAGATTACGACGTTGAGGAAGATGAAGATGAGGCAGCTGAAGAGGCCGGTCAAGACCGTCATCATCCTTGCCTTTGGAAGCAGTTGTTGGATGCGCCCGATCGTAGGCATGGCAGGAGCCCCTACGAGCAGCTCTTCGTCGATTGGAATATGATAGTCAACCTCTACGCTAGTCGAAAGCTGAGTGTACCCGGCGACAAGCTGGTCGCCCTGTCCGGTTTAGCCAACGATATGAAGGCACGACTCCAGCAAATGAAGCCCGGCCCGCACCGGTATCTTGCCGGCCTCTGGGAAGAGACGCTGATGGATACGTTGGTGTGGAACGTCCGAGATCCAGCCATCAGAGCGCCTGAGTATAGGGCACCGTCATGGTCTTGGGCTTGCCTTGACGGGGATATCAATCTTCTTGGAGGATGCACGCAGGAAGAAGACACAATCTCTCTCTCCTCCCCGATCTCGGTGGAGATGTCACATCCCGGCGAAGAGGACACCGGGCAGGTGACTGCCGGCACGCTGACTTTGAAGGGGCCGTGTGGCCTGGCCGAGATAGGGCAGGAGGCCGGGTGGGGGGTGACGGAGCTCAACATTCTCAGCGTCGTGGGCGAAGATGGACGCGTTTTCCACGGCAAGGACATGGTGAGAGCCAGTGTCTACTTTGATACCTTGGACGATATCACGAACCAGGTTTCTCTTGTATTGGTGTGCGCTCACCATTACGATGAGGGGGAATGGTATGTTCATGGCTTGGCACTCAACCGCGTGGAAGAGAATACGTATCGCAGGGTGGGTATGGCAAGTTGCTCTTTCAAGGATAAGGAGAGTGCCGAGGCGTTTGGTGCGGCGTTCCCACGCAAGGAACTCCAGATCGTTTGAGATGGAGGAACATAGAGACATATTGTTGAATTTCGGATATACAAGCCTGATACGGAGAGATGTCTGATTTGTGTATGCTCAACGTTTCTTATGTATCAGATTCAAAGTAGTCGTAACAAGAATGGACGGCGATCACCCACCAGCTGACGAAAGTGTCCCACGCTCATCGCCACCAACAGGTCCAGAGGACAATATGAATCGAACCAAACGCACAAGCTATCACTTACGGCCATAGATGGTAGAAAATTCGGGATCCCGTCCGCTCTCCCATAGACAAGCTGCCAATCGCCGAATCAGTACTCAGGTCGGTGACGACTGGGGAATCCTCGGTGCTGTAAGTTTTTCTTTTTGATTTTTCTTTTGCTTGTTCCCCACAGTGGCCAAGTTGTTTTGGTGTGGGAGCATGGAATGGTATTACATGTACCTAAAAGTTTGTTTCTGATGTGAAGATCATGAGTGTATCCGTGATAGATCATTTACAATAATGTACACGCCCCGATTGAGAATGCTCTGCCGGGAGACCCGCTCATTCTACTTCGACAGGAACTTTTGGAACGCGCTCTGGTCAATCACAACGTTGCCCACCGCCCTCAGCTTCTTCCTGCCCTCCTTCTGCTTCTCCAGGAGCTTCCTCCGCCGCGAGATGTCGCTGGCGTGCAGCTTGGCGAGCACGTCCTTCCTGAAAGGCTTGATCGTCTCCCTCGCCACCACCTTCTTGCCCGCGGCCGCCTGGATGATCACCTCGAACATCTGCCGGTCGACGTGCTCGCGGAACTTTTGCACCCACTGGCGGCCCATCCGGTCCACCTGCGAGGTGTGCACGACGCGGCACACGGCGTCGACGGCCTTCTTGTTGACCAGCAGCGACAGCTTGACGAGGTCGGACCGGCGCCAGCCCGCGTCGTCGTAGTCGAGCGTGGCGTACCCCTTGGACGCGCCCTTGAGCTTGCCGAACAGGTCGTCGACGAGCGACGCCGTGGGCAGCGCGTACTTGACCAGCACCTGCCGGCTGCCGGTGCCGAGGAACTCGATGCTCTCCTGCTCGCCGCGGCTCGCCTCGCACAGCTCGATGACCCGGCCCAGGTACTCCTCGGGCACGGCGATGGTGGCCAGGACCATGGGCTCGAAGAAGTCGGCCCGGCCGCGGTGCTGCTCCGGCTCCGGGAACTCGGCCGGGTTGGTGATGATCTCCTCGCTGCCCGCATCGCGGCCGCTGCCCTCCCGCCACACGACCTTTGTGGGCACCGACGGCTCGGTGATGATGATGTCGGCGCCGTGCTCCTGCCGCAGCCGGTCCTGGAAGACGGAGCAGTGCAGGCTGCCCAGGAAGCCCAGCCGCCAGCCGGCGCCCAGGGCTTCCGAGAAGTCCTTCTGGAGCGTGATGCTCCTGTCGTTGAGGACGAGCTGCGTGATGCTGTCCGCCAGTTTGGAGTAGTCGCTCTGGTCTGTCGGGAATGCCGCGACAAAGACCATGGGCTTGGGCTCCTCGAAGCCCGGGTATGGCTCGACGACACCCTCGCTGCCGATGGTGGTGAAGGTATCACCAATCTTGGCATCCTGGATCTTCTTCATACCCGGGTTGAAGAAGACATAGCCGACCTGGCCGGCGCGCAGCTTGGTCTGCGGCACCTGGTCCGGGTGCTGGATGCCCACCTCGCCGACGCTGTACCTGTTGCCCGTGGCGAAAGAGACGATCTGGTCGCCGGCCTGGAGCGTGCCGTCAAAGATGCGCACCAGCAGGATCACGCCACGGAACGTGTCGTACCACGAGTCCACGAGAAGCATCCGCAGCGGCTTGTTCTCGTCCCCCTCGGGTGGCGGGACGGTATCTATGACTGCCGGCAGCAGAGCCTCGACGTTCTTGCCCGTCTTGGCGCTCACCAGCACCGCGCCCCTCCCCGTATCCGGATCGACGTCCAGCTCGAAGGTGTCTTTCAGCTGCGTCAGTGCCCTGCCGGTGTCGGCGGTTGGGAGGTCGATCTTGTTCACGACGGGGACGAGCGCGAGGTTCTGCGCAAAGGCGAGGTAGAAGTTCGCGACGGTCTGGGCCTGGACGCCCTGCGAGGCGTCGACGAGGAGCAGGGCGCCGCCGCAGGAGGCGTAGGATCGGGTGACCTCGGCGCGGAAGTCGACGTGGCCGGGGGTGTCGACGAGGTGGATGAGGTAGTCGAGGCCGCGGTAGCGGTAGATCATGGTGCAGGTCTGGGCTTTGACAGTGATGCCGCGCTCTCGCTCGACGTCGAGTTTGTCCTATGGCGTGCGGCGGGTCAGTGTTCCGCGGGCTTCTTTCATTCATGTTGGAGCTGGCAGGCCAAAGCGACGGGAGCAGGGAACATACAAGGACCTGTCTGTTTGCATCGCCAGGCGAGATCGTGCCCGTGATCTCCAACAACCGATCACTGAGCGTGCTCTTGCCATGGTCGATGTGCGCGACGATGCAGAAGTTGCGAAAGCGTTCGAGTGGGATTGCCGAGATACGCTCTTCGAGCTCTGTGGGCGTCGCCTTGCCTCGCTTGCCGCCCGTGCTATTGTGCCTTCTATGTGATATGCATAGATGACATATTCTTGAGCTTGACGGCCTTTGTTCTCGAGGGGGCGTGGAGGTCGAGGTCTGGGGAAGGTGGCTTCGTGCTCGAACAGGCCGAGGGACGGCGGCGCAACTAAAGGGGGCCAATTGCCGGAGACGCAGTGGCCGCAGGCATGGTCGCATGTGCCCTACCGTGGCTGCAGAGCCACGCATCCGGTATGTCTACTCGGAACGACCACTATGCCTGTTTGAATGGTGCTGTTCTTTGCGAAAGCGTCGTCTCGTGAGTCTCGAGATGATCAGACTGGCCCGAGGGAAATTTGAAGCTGTCGCGCCCTTATCTTATCGCCGATCTGACCTGACCAACTTTCGACCACTCTCCCAGCTAATTAGAGAGTTTAAAGCTCAAGTCCATCACCACCCCGTCATGCTACAAAGAGAGTTGATAATCGTGAAGTTTTAATTCAGCATTTTTGTATTCCTGATGTTAGACACCCATGTAGTATGATTGCTACTTTCGTGTATGTTGTCTGGTGATTCTCCGCTTTCCTCTACACGGACTTGACATCATGAATGATGGAGTCTTGACTGAAGTGTCCAGACTGTTGCAGCCTTCTACATCATTCCCCTATGGTTCCTTTACTCTCACGGGTCAGAGTTAGATGTCAGCTGGTAGAAACTATTAAGATCAGTCTCGAGAGGAGACATTTTGAGGAAGTTCCGATCTGTGAACCGAATATTGACCCTAATGCCCTGAGAATAAGTCGTTTCTACTTTCAATTGTAGCTTTGGCAACCAGGAACCAGGCTGTTGCAAGAAACCAAGCTTTTGGCATCTTCCAGAAGTATTTCGGCTCGCTCAACAAGGATACACAGGTTCGATTGCCTTGAGTCCGTATCCGTTCAACAGTCTCAATTAAACGCGATCTCATCATGGCCGTTGCTACTGGGGCCTGAACCGTAGTGAGCACTCTTACTATTCCTATATCTTATAAATTTTATGAGCTACTCGGTAGCCAGTGGTACCTCAATATCATGGGTTCCAACGCTATAGTCACACATCAATTCAAGCAAATCGAAATGCAAGAAACCGATCAGGTCAATACATGGGCTCAATGCTGTCTGCGTTGTTATGGTGTTGATTATTACCCCAACCTACCAACCTTACCTGGAAGATGCTGGTGACAGCAGTAAAACCTGCTCCATCTTTGACTCGATCGCTCTGGCGACGTTGGTCTTCACATGTCTCCTCGCGCCCGCGAACAGGTCCACCTGCACCTGCTGCCCATCGACCGCACCCCCCTCACGCTACTGTAGCACGACGGATGCGTCGGCTATGATGATGGGTGCGACGCGTTGGCGCGAAGGCCCGGCGACATGGAACCTGGGAGGAGACGGACCTGGACGCCGGAGAGCAGTCCCACGATACGACAACCACCCACCCAGAACGCTCGATGGACATTATGGCCGACCGGCCTCGATACGCCTTCACAGAGGTGTGTCAAATCTTTCATTGGTAGCCCGAGAGGTCATTTGATCAACCCGCCCCTCCCCAATGCCAAACATTGGGCAGATCTGCCATCTATTTGTAACAGACATTATTCAAGCCAGCAGCTTTCCATTCCCCATCGAGCAACTGATAAGCTATACGCGGTCTTGGTGCAGCAAAGGCTGGGCACTCCCCACGGTTTACGTCGGCGGCAAACAACGGCATATTATCAAATCCTCTTGGTAGGTGGTTCAATGCCCTTCGTCTTGTCCTTTCTCGTGAGGGTGTGTGACAGGTCAATTCCTCCAACAGCTCTTCCTGCGGTTCCTCCCAGGCAGAAGCGTACAGTGCCCGCACTCCAGGACATAACTCGGAGGGTTGCGGCGGCCGCGGCCCATCGGATGCCAAAAGCGCCACACCCGCAACCGGTCAGCAGCAAGGCCGTTGGCTGTATGCACGAGATGCGAGCGGAGTCGCACCGCATGCTGGCTGGGCCCCTCCTTTCTGCGCGAGGGTGTGCCGGCAGTTCGCCCCCGGCCTATCATCGTCGGCGCGGCCGGAAATAAAAGTCAGAAACATTGGGGCCCATTGCATACGACACCTTGGGGTAAAATGGACACCGAGGCGATCACTGCTTTCACGACTCGTGCTTGTGTGCGGGGGAAAAGGGCTCGAGCCGCTGTCCGGTTTTGACAGATGATGGAGTGCAGCCAGAGCCAGCCACCATGCATTGTTAAAGTAGGGAGGGGGCATGGCTCTCTGGGTGAGTGTGTTACACGGCTTCTTTTGCCACCCTCGCCAGAAGTTCTTCCCGACGGAAAATCCCACTCCATACGTATAAGTCGGCCAATAGGACACCCCAATTGGTCTGCCGCTTTTATGCACCAACCTCTACGTGGTCATGATTGGGGGGGCGAGAGTCCCTACCTTATCATGATGCGAGGAAGAATGCAATGTCGGTTTGCAACAACCACTACGTCCGTGAAGAAAAGCTTCTGAGAGAAGGGTCCTCATGAACGATTCCAGCCGGACTCCAACGACGCAAAGGCAAAAGGACACAAATACCCAACGCCTCATTGGAGCTCCTGGCACTGACGCAACTAAGCATAGAGCTAAAATCAAGAACCAGCTGCAAACACCAACAGTTCCCCACGTATGTAACCGTCTCGCGCATCTAGTACAACCCCTCGACGCAGCTTGGAACGAATCATGGCGTCGGCCACTCCCTGTGTGATGCATATCAGACCTGTACTATGCGGGGACACATTACGTTGTCCTCCTCTTCATCCGTCGAATCCCTTCCCCCAACACCATCACCGGTCGGCCATAAATCCTCCTTCCGACCAAGACCAAGGAGGCCAGACCGGGCCACTCGATATCATAGCGTACAGGCGCAGCAGCGTATATCCAGTAGATCATTGGCGGCTATGCACCTCGAGAAGAGGGGTTGGCAGATGAGCAGTGGACCGTGATGACGTTCATTTCACATAGACTGTGGGATGGGTTGCGTCGGCAATTCATGCAGGTTGGTCAAGTGCTCAAGTGAGGATCCTCGGGGCCAAGGGAGAAGATGAGGGGTTCATGCACATAAAGTTGGGTATTCCGGCCGTTCCTGCTGGAGAGCCATGCTACGTGCTCTCAGGCTGCTCGATTCTTGTCAACTCTCTCTTCCAGTGACAGATCCCCGCCTAGTTGTGATTTGTGCGTTCAAGACACCTGAAGGCCTGTGACATCGTCGACAATGAGTCTCCCCGAGGAGTTCGACATCATCGTGTGCGGTGGAGGAAGTTGTGGGTGTGTGGTGGCGGGCAGGCTGGCCAATCTGGATCACAATCTCAAAGTGCTGCTCATTGAGGCTGGTGAGAGCAACTTGAACAACCCCTGGGTGTTCCGCCCGGGAATCTACCCCAAGAATATGAAGCTGGACTCCAAGACAGCATCGTTCTACGAATCACGCCCGTCGAAGTGGCTTGCCGGGAGGAAGGCCGTGGTGCCCGCTGCCCACATCCTCGGAGGAGGCTCTTCCATCAACTTCTTGGTAAGTCTCATGATTTGGAAGACTATAATTGAGTTCCTAGACTGACACCTCCAGATGTACACGCGTGCCTCGGCATCAGACTACGATGACTTCCAAGCCAAGGGCTGGACGACTGAGGAGCTTCTGCCCCTGATGAAGAAGCACGAGACTTACCAGCGTGCATGCCACAACAAGTCAGTTCTCTTTCCCAAACGCAGAAAGACTATCTAATTAACTTTCTCGTCTAGGGAAGTGCATGGCTTCGAGGGTCCTATTAAAGTTTCCTTCGGCAACTAGTACGTAGCGTTGCAGATCTCTTTGATGCTTTTCGGTTTAGTCCATTAACGGTATCCCGCAGCTGCTACCCAATCAAGGACGACTTCCTTCGCGCCACCGAGTCACAGGGCATCCCGACTGTTGATGATCTGCAAGACCTTCACACGGGCCACGGGGCCGAGCACTGGCTCAAATGGATCAACCGCGATGTATGATGAAAACCTTGGTTCACCGGCAAACCGGAGTATGCTAATATGCACGTGAACAGACCGGGAGGCGAAGCGATAGCGCTCACGCTTACATCCACGCTACTCGCGCTGTGCATTCGAACCTGTACCTCGCCTGCAACACCAAGGTCGACAAGGTGATCATTGAAGATGGCCGTGCGGTTGGTGTGCAGACTGTGTGAGTAAAGTACTAGTAGAGTGGTGCCTGCCGCGCTTACTTACATCTGTTCCAGCCCGACCAAGCCTCTTCATCCGAGCCAGGTCAAGCCTCGCATCTTCAAGGCCAGGAAGCAGATTGTGGTGTCGTCGGGTACCCTCTCGTCTCCGCTGGTGCTCCAGCGATCTGGCATTGGTCAGTCATAAGTATCCTCATGCCATAGAACGAAGAAGCTGACAATTAGATTCAGGTGACCCCGAGAAGCTCAAGGCAGTCGGTGTTGAGCCAAAGGTCGACCTCCCCGGCGTTGGTCTCAACTTCCAGGATCATTACCTCACATTCTCGGTATTCCGTGCTAAGCCCGAGACGGAGAGCTTTGATGACTTTGTCCGTGGTGTGCCCGACGTTCAGAAGAGTATGTTGAGATGAGATCCAGGGTATGCAAAATGTGCTAATACTTTCCACAGAGGTCTTTGATGAATGGGCCCTCAAGGGCACCGGCCCATTGGCCACCAACGGTATCGAGGCTGGCGTGAAAATCCGCCCGACTAAGGAAGAGCTTGAGGAGTTCAAGACCTGGCCTACACCGCACTTCAACGACGGATGGGAGTCTTACTTCAAGAACAAGCCCGACAAGCCGGTCATGCACTACTCTGTTATTGCCGGCTGGTTCGGCGACCACATGCTCATGTAAGTCAATCCGATATGCCAATTCCCTCTCTCAACTGTCTGCCTACTGACCGTCTTCCCCATCGCCAGGCCCCCAGGAAACTTCTTCACCATGTTCCACTTCCTGGAGTACCCCTTCTCTCGCGGCTCCACGCACATCAAGTCGCCGGACCCCTACGCCACGCCCGACTTCGACACGGGCTTCATGAACGACGAGCGCGACATGGCGCCCATGGTCTGGGGCTACATCAAGTCGCGCGAGACGGCGCGCCGCATGGACGCCTACGCCGGCGAGGTGCAGAACATGCACCCCTTCTTCGACTACGACTCGCCCGCCCGCGCGCACGACATGGACCTCGAGACGACCAAGCGCTACGCCCTGCCGGGCAACCTCAGCGCCGGCCTGCAGCACGGCTCCTGGAGCGTCTTCCTGCCCGAGGCGGACCGGAAGCCCGGCGCCGACATCCTCAACAGCAACCAGGCGCACATCCGCGAGGACCTCAAGTACTCCAAGAAGGATATCGAGGCCGTTGAGGAGTGGGTCAAGAGGCATGTCGAGAGTACCTGGCACAGTCTCGGAGTAAGTTTTGCAACCACCTGGCCCCCGATCTAGCTGCAAGAGATGTATGTGACTGATGATTATACTCTTCAGACTTGCTCGATGGCCCCGCGCGAGGGCAACAGCATCGTCAAGCATGGTGTTCTCGACGAGCGTCTGAATGTCCATGGAGTCAAGGGACTGAAGGTAGCGGACCTCAGTATCTGCCCCGACAACGTCGGCTGCAACACGTAAGTTCAGTTGTCCTCGTTGCAAATAAAAAAAGATTGATTGCTCACATACACTTAGTTACTCGACTGCACTTCTCATCGGCGAGAAGGCTGCCATGCTGGTGGCCGAAGATCTTGGCTATTCCGGTGATGCCTTGCAGATGAAGGTGCCAGATTATCATGCACCTGGAGAGACCCGCCTTCCGTTCCGCGTTTGATTCGGATGAAAGTTGCTCTGCTTAGTGCTTCGTGGGGTTTTCTTTCTTCGTTTTCGTCCTGATGACCAACACGACTTGATTTGTCTCTGCCCGCCAAATTGTCAACACGAATATGGGGCTTGTTTCCGTTGCTGAATGTTACGGAACTGTATTTTGTCCGAGTTATATCTTATATTAATTGATCACATTATATATTCAGTTCTTAGTCTCTCGCTCTGATGAAGGCGCTTGGTATGGTATTGGAAAGTTGGAAGTGCAGGATCCCCAGCAACTCCAGCGTCGTGGGTGGGATATAGCGAGTAGTGCCAAACAGCAAGCACGTAGTCTCAGATACGGAGTAAGGCTTTTTCCATCTTTATCTTTAATCTTGTATCCTCAACGAAACAAATTGGAAGAAAATATTGTCTAGTTGATCAGGAGGAGAGCTCCCACCACTGATGCAAGAAGGGGCAGCATGAAAGGAAAAGTCCTAAAAAAAATGTTAACAAAATTCAATGACTGACTCGTCATTATAGAGAGCTGACTTACTGTTTAAAATTGCTCTTTGACGACCCATTTGATGCTGGTTGTGATGTAACCGCAGCCTGGACGGCTGCAGAAGATGTTGATGATGACACTTTGCTACTTGACGCCGTAGTGGAAAGGCACTGCCAATAGTCTGTAGACCATACATGATTTAGCATAAAAACTTCCACTTTCAAGAATCGAGCCTTCGTTCAGCAATGTACATACACTCATTCACCTTGGTACACACGCTTCCGGACGGACACTAGGCAAAGAAGAAGTCGCAAAGTCAGTGCTAATGCCACAGTCACAGCGGATTATGTGTCTGACTCACAAGCTTGGCAACATCCCACCCATGCCCATCACACTGCTTATACAATGCTGCCGTCTCGGACGGCGTTGGGGCCGCAATCGCCGTTTCCGTCGGCATCTGGAAGACAGGGAACTTTCCGTCGTCCTCGCGCTTGCAGCCCGAGACGGCCGTCAGCTCCTTCGGGCACTGGACCTGCTCGAACTCGACATCTGGGTTGTCCGCGTCGAGGAACCAGTCGAAGCGCCACTCGCACCCTGCCCGCAGTGCCGCGGGCAGCTGCGAGCAGTGATCCCGATCCGAGATGCCGCCGTACTGGGCGCCAGGGCTGCTGCCGTATTGGGCCACGCAGCCCGAGAAGATGCCCTGGCCGCCGCCAGGAATTTGCAGGTCGAAATGGTTGCTCGTCAGATCGGTGCCCGTGTTGAGTGACTGGACGACCATCTTTTTACCCTTAACTTTGCCGGAGGTGAACGTGAGGCTGCGGATGTGAAGTGGCGTTAGTTCGACTCGTGGTGTACATGCACAGGAAAACCAGAGTCTCACGCATAACAAGCGCAACACCAACTCGCTTCGGAGCCGCCGGTGATGGCTGTGCCTGCAAAGCCATATGACACCACCCCGTTGATGGCCCATGGTTTCGCCCCTGAGCACATAAAAGCTGGTCCTCCTGCGCAACCGGAGGCCAGCTGGGCGTCAAATAATTTGTTGTCGCCCTTTTCGCATGTGAGTACCGGATGGCTGACTGCTGCTTTGCCGGACCATGCGCATGATGGCTTGCAGCAATCCCAAAATCTCGTTGTGACCGCCTTCCCTGACGCCGCGAGTGCACCGAGAGGCAGTGCCGCTATGGCGATAGGAACCCAGGCTTGGCTATACATGGCGAATGTCTGATTGCTGCATATCTCGAATTAACTGTGCCAATGTTCTCAAAACACTGGCCGGGCCCGCATTCGACTTTTGTAGCCTGAAAACAGACTGGTCACCGATACGGACAGCTCCTGACAACTCGGTCAGTCCGCTTCTCCAGTTTGGCACTAAGGCAGGTGAAAGAATTCACACCGATCCGATCTCGACGCCACATAGATCTTTCAGGGTTTGTAAGGGCTTAATGATCACATATGTACGATCTGGCGACTCTTCTGACTCGCCTCAGACATGGCGCGCGCCGTCTCGGGCGCCATAATGTCGGCAGCTACGAGACCATTCCACTGCGGCTAACTACCCTCGTCTCGCAACCCGCCAAAAGACAATTGACTGCCGCGATATTGAGACGGGTTTGTCGGCGAGTCAGGCAACTGTCTGACTGGCATGTTGGTAGCCTAGCTCCTAGCCAGGCCATGGCAATTAAGCTTTTTAAAGTTCGTCGGTGGCAGATGGCGCTATAGAATCGGAGGCTTGGCGTCTCGAGATTCTAGATCACAGCTGCAGTTGAAGTGGATAATGGCAGAAGCCTCATTCCTAGGGAGGCGCCTCGAACAGACTTAGCCGGCAGAAATACATGTCTCCCCGCCGGCCGTGAAATAATAGGAGCATACAAAGGTTCTGTAACATTCTCAAAGGGATCAGTAAGAAACTATTGTGAACGACATCTAGACCTTATCAAGGACATTATAGGCTTCTCACTCACAGAGAGGCCACTGTAATATCGCAAGTTAAGCACATTATCAACCCGGAGCAGCAATTCATGGACTTGTTCCTGGCCAACAATGTATGGAGCTACATGAGTGGCGCCAACAAGGACATCCCGTTTGCTCGCCAGATAGCCTAAGAGTATACTGGAACACCCACCCACTTTTTAACCTAGAACATGGCAGAAGTACGGGACAGACCGCACGCGATAGAGTTCGCCGCCATAACTCAATCTTCATCGTCGGGAAGACCAACCATCTTCAGTGAGTCAGCCCAGAGTCTGGCCTCATCCTTCGGGTTGTACGTGACGCTGCTCGTCTTCGGGTTGAAAATGTCTCCATCGTCTTCGCCCACAGGTGCCTCTACACAGTTGGCCAGGTACTTCCCCCCTCTCCCCTCCCACTCCTTTCCAACGGCCGCGACCAGCGGCGTGGCAGCACCCTGAGCGGGGCTCTTTAGGATGGGCAGATACGTGGGATTCTTCATGGCCTCGATCTGCTCCTTGGGCAAGTGACGGACGAGCCCCGTCGGGATGTTGCCCGGGTGCGCCGAGGTCGCGTGCAGGCCCCGCGAGCCGTAGCGCCGCTCAAGCTCATTCGCCATGTACGTGTTGGCCGTCTTTGACTGCGCGTAGGCCGTCCAGGGGTCGTAGCCGCCCTTCTCAAAGTGGTAGTTGTCGGCATTGTTGAGGCCCTTGATACGGTGCACCGAGCCACTTAGCAGGACGATGCGCGAGTGGAAGTCGGGAGTGGAGCCGGCGAGCAGGGCGGGCCTCAGGAGATGGAAGAGCAGGAAGTGTGAGAGATGGTTTGTGGCGAACTGCGCCTCGTAGCCGTCCTCGGTCAGTGTGCGCTCCTGGAGGGCCATGACGCCGGCGTTGCCGATGAGTAGGGAGATCTTGTTGTCGGTTTTGGTGAGGATCTCCTTTCCGGCAGTGCGAACGCTAGAAAGCGAGGACTGGTCCATATGCACAAAGTGCATCGTATCAGGTTTGTAAATGTCCGCAAGGGCAGCCTGGGCTTTCTCGAGATTACGCGCTGTTAGGATGAGGGTGGCTCTTGTGGCTGCAAGGGCGCGCACGATCTCTATCCCAACACCTGAGGATACACCTGTCACGACAGCCGTCTTGTCGACAAGTTTGCCTTCCATGTCGTTGTCTTGTACAATCTGCAGGGCTGTAGGGCGGGCGTCACCGATGCCCTGGGGGTTGGCATGAGCTGCAGCATATAGAGACATGGCTATGTTATGGTTATCTGCAGAGTGGCGGCGGGGTCTTGGAAATGAAGGTAGAAGTTAGGAAATGTGTTGGATGAGGCAGTTGATGACCGAAAGTGTGTTCTGTCATATTGTTGACTGCCATTGCTGGCTTAAATACATGTTCTTGGTCCGGGATGCGTCGCAGCTAATGTTAAGTCCTTGCAGTGTTTTGTCAGGGACATTGCATACTTCCATCGCAGAAATGATTTAAGTTGTTAATTCCGGATATCTTGTTGCTGGTGGTGATCCAAATGGAGGCCTTAGAAAGTTGAATCATGAAGGTCTTAATGGAACGGAAGTGGAGTGACAGACTTCGCTCCGGCTCCGCCCCAAATTCCCGATCATCAAACTGACAAAATTGCCATTTTAGTCTTAGTGAATGGCTTTAACTCCGCCCGAGCGAAAGCCGGAGCTGATGCACCAACGAGGAATGTTGCTCGAGAGTAGGCAAAAGTTCTACTAACACAGGTGATGCCCTTTCTGTCAATATAATTGTGCAGCTTCTAGAATGTAGAGCCAATAGAACTGTTTATCACCGAAACCCCTCCCTTGCGAGGAATTAGGATCGCACCGGTCGCCGTAACCTTCAAAAGACCAAGACCCTGTAACGGGAGCCAGTCGCGAGGGATGAAAAAGTGCTTCTGGACTTCCTCCTCTACCTCGCCATAAGACGGGCCCATGTGCCACGAGCAGACCCAAAACGACCGGTCGATGAAAATCAACTTGCGGTTTGGTAGGACTGTTAGGGGCATTTCCACCAGCTCAGCCACCGTAGGTGGAATGGCTACCGGGCAGATTGAGTAGGCTGCATCGTCTCTGGCATCAAATACCAGGAATCTGGGCCGCAGTCTGCGGCTCCGGGTTTTCCTTGATATCTTGACAAGCACATGTCCCTCGACAAAGGTTGCTTCGACACTATCAACTTCTTCTGTGATGTCTGCAGGATTGACATCGGAGCTGCGCACTTGTCTTGGACTTGAGGATATCGACTGAGCCGCACTTGACATCTCAAAGCTCTGATCAGAACTCCACTGGAAACTAGAGATTTCTTCCAAGTCATCCCGATTGTGTATCGATACCACTTTCGGAGTAATTGAGAGCAGGTGTGCTGAAGATCGTGGATGAGCAATCCACTTCCTGGGCGCCCAGGATGTGCCGTAATCCCTAGCCAACTTAAGCTCAGGAGGCTCGATAGCCCAGACTTGGGTGGAGGTCGTGGACGACACTAATAGTGAATCGCATCCTGGCAAGAAGAGAATCTGGCGGAGGTTCGCTGAATCCAAGCTCAGCTTAAACCTGGCGACGCGCCGCACTTTGCGTTGTCCGTCATCCAGAGTAGTATGCACTACAGTGAGTCGGGCATTCAATTCTGCGTAGCAAATCTTGCTCCCGTCTTCGTTCCATGCCAGATACTCGATGCTCATACCTGTTGGTGTCTGCCCGATCGAGACCTTTTTAGATGTTTCATAGTCGAACAGGTCTACAGCGCCGTCCTCGTCCCCAAAACATACCATAGGATCCCGAGGAGCAGGAGCCATGATGAGAATTGGCACGGAGTTGTCGACGAATGTCTTGGAAACCACTTGCGCTTGTCGAAGGCTCCAGTCTGCCGTCTGGCTCAGAGCCGGGTCGCCATCCGCAGTACTGTGTCTCATAATCGCATTGGGCTCCCACATGCTGCAGTGGCTACCACGAATGTCGTAAAACTTCCTGCCGTCATCGCTGAAACAGAAGGCAGTAATCAGATCGTCCGAGATCAGCTGGTAGATCAACGTAGAGCTCTGATAGTCATAGAGCCTAATCGTGCCCCCGAATCCGCAGATTGCATATACCAGGCCGTTTGGGCTGCAGATGATATCCGAGGGCATTTGACCTGGAGCTGGTGCGTGTTCTTGGTATGACCCATCAACGATGTTCAACTTGAAACTGTATCCATCCATGAAGATGCCAAGAAGCTCATCGCCGCTAGGATGCCACGAAACACGCGACGCGAATGGGAGCGGTTCTGATACTTGACCCGGTCGTGGAAGCCGCGTCACTCGTTTGAAAGGTTTGGCCTGAGATATGGACCAGATGACGAGAGGGAAACTTCGATATGCTGCTGCAATATTTGAACCGTCTGGGCTCAGGGCCAGCGCAACAGGAGAGTTCAAGTACGTGCCTTCAATACGCTCGACATCATTTAGAAGTCGCGTATCTATCGTTGCCCAGGCGCACTGCTCTTTGGAATCGAGATCGGCGCGAAGGACGCAACGATAATCGGACCCCATGATGAGGTTTTTGTCCTTGTCAACAAATTGCAGACATAGAGCGTGCATGTCTGGAGGGTTGGGCATGGATAATAGCAACTTCCCCGACTGCGGGCTCCAAATCTTGGTGTGGCCATGGCCATATGTTGCTAGTCGGTCGCCTTTGGAGTTGAAGCAGAGGGCTGAGATCGTTTCGCCGTGCCATAAAATATTGACCTGATGAAAAGTCATAGAGTCCCAGATGATGGCTTGTTGCTCCGAGTTGCCCACTGCGATGTATCGCCCTGAACAGCAGATCGGCTTAGCACCCCATTGACTACTCGCTGGTACTCGGGCAAGACAGTCATCCCAGTCTTCAGAAGTGCCCTTTACCGTTAATGTGCTGGTCTGACGTTTTCCAAAGAGCTTGTATATGGATGAATTGAGTGGGCAAAAGGGAGCGACACTGTCGTAAATAGTCTCGGGCTTTTGTGCAAGGCAAACGCCAAACTTGCCAAGTAATTTTGGCAGGTCGCGAGACCAACCTTCGAGAACTTCGAGCTCGTCACATCTCTGCGCAGTGAGCTCGAAACCATCGTCAGCCCTGCGCTTGCTTGTCACAAACGCAGATAGCGAATGGGACGCCTCGAGCAGCACTGGTAGCTGGTCAAGAGAGGCCAAGACTTGAATCCATACGAGAACAGAGTCGTGGGTAAAGAAACTGCTCAAGAGACCCAGCTGCTCATCACTGGTCCCGCGCATTTCTGTCGCCGCTAAGTGGTGTGGCCACGACGTTGAGCGGTATTCGAGCAAGTTTGGAGATGAGCGGTAGAGTTTGGACCTCACCGACCTGTCCAAGAAGGCAGCCATGGCTTGTTTGAAGAGTTCGCCGTGGGCCGTTTTGGCTTCTAAAGAGAAGGGCAAATTTGTTGTCGTTGCGAGATATTCACGAGCCGTTTGGTGGATCAGCCCTACGTTATTGCCACGCTCCACGGTAATGAAATGGCCGCAAAGACGGCTGGCCGTCTGAGAGATATCGAGAAGTTTACCAAACTCCGGCTCGAGAGCGTCTGAAAGTTCTTCAGCCGAAAGCGTCCGGCGTGCATGGATGGCCCAGATAAGTAGCTGACGCGCCAGGTTCTTGTCAGAAGGCCGTCTGATATGTGAAATGCTCTCCTCCATACGTTTATACAAGCCGTCCATTTCAGGCGGGAGTTCGAGAAGTCGGTTCCAAATATCTTCCTCGGTGTTGCAATCTTGGAGCTCTTCGAGGATCAGGTGGACCCAGAGGAAGTTATTGTTGGATCCATCGAGGACCTTTTCCACGACTTTCCCAGTGATATCCTCGCCCCAATTGTTAAAGCGGAGGGCGTCTTCCACACAGTGTCGTATATCCGACAGGTCATGGTCTAGCGAGAAAGTAGCAGTTGACACCCTGGAACCCGTTCTCTTGAAAGCAACAGAGAGGCTTTGGGTCCATCTGCTTGTGGCTATGACTCTGATAAGGACCTTGGACAGCTGAAGATCTGAAAGTAGTTCAAAGACATGATGGGGAGAGATCGCTTCGTCGATGCCGTCAATGATCCAATATGCGGGGGATGAAAGTTCCATCTCAAAGAGGACATCGACAAAAAGCTTCTTCCACATCGACCTCCACTCAGTGTTTTTTGCTTTGTAGCCACTATCAGTTATCTCAACTAATGCCCGGCGGAAGGCAGGAACCTGCTGTGCAGTTTGAAATGCAAGACTCTTGATAAGGGCAGCCATGCTTCGCTTGCTCTCGTCACCCGCCCTGAAAAAGAAGAACTGCACGTAGGCCTCATGTTCAACCAAATAATTGGCCAGGAAGGCTGCTATGACAGATTTTCCGCGGGCCGGCCGTCCATGGAGCAAGAGAATTTCGGAGGATGATGATGATCGCCAGCTGCGGACCGAGTCCTGCTCGAGAATCCACTGGCATGTTCCGTCAGTCCGCCGCTCAGAGAATAGGTCCAGATCATGTTCAATAGTAGGTGGCACAGCAAATACACCGCGGAGACGGTCGAGTTCTTGAATAGCATTGTCTGTATCTGTGTAGCTCTGTCAGCTTGTGCTTGAATACCACGGGCTCATGGACAATTACCGGCCGAACTGTAGGACGATACCAGCGACTTCAATGCGCCAATAACAACACGGTAGTTGGGGTCTTTAGTGTCGCTAAACTTGCATACGTTACGGTGGTCAGCATTGACCGACCGCGAGACTTCTTTGGGATATCCGAGTTTTGCCGATTCCGGATCCAGGATAAGCTATACTCAGACTGTTCATTACCACTCCATGATTAACTAAAAACCAAGCCATGCTTACTCACCGCAGAGAATACGCCCAATGGGGTTTGGAGCGTTTCGTAGAATGAGAAGATATCGAGTTTGTGTGCCACATGGCGAAATTGCTCGTTGACGTTGCGGAGAAAGTCTGAGGGCCCGTGCAGTTCAGCGACATATTGCTTGGAAGAGGACCCAAAGCCGACAGAAAGAAGGCGGTTCAAATACGGAGCCAGATCTGACCCTCGATGAGGCGTAGCTAGAAAAACAACCGCTTTCGTAGAACCCATGATAGATGAGTAACCCGAGTCAAGTTGGGCATCCAGGTATGCCTGGGCAAGATATACACATTAGATATGTATCAAGAAGATTTGCGGAGCACTCCATACCTTTTTGAACACCAAGCCTCCCATAGAGTGAGTTACGAAGATGATGGGTACCTATGTATAATCTCATGTAAGTAAGTGCATTAAGCATAACGTCAAGCTTGTTACTGTCGACCAAGGTTGGAAAGGATGTAGGTCGGTCGTACACACCTCTCCAATATCCAACAATCCGCCTTCAAGGTCTCTACCAAACCGCATATCATACAAAAGGTTCTTGGAAAAGTCATTTATGCTCAATGACGAGATCTGCGAAGACGAGCGATAATGGGCATTGTACCCGTAAGTAAATATCCTCGCACGATGTAAATCATCATCTTTTGGAAGCCATATCTGCGGCCAGAACAGGTCCAACCTCTCATCTTTACACCATGTCAACCTGCTAGAACCGCCGAGGCCGTGTATGAAAATGATATCGGCGGTACGATCACCTATTGGACTGTAGAGAAGAGAGAGACCGAGAGGGTCCTTCTTGCGGTCCGCGCTCAGGATTTCGGATCGGGATGGAAGAGGAAGGACAGGAATGGTGGATAGCGATCGGACGGCAATAGATATGCTGGGATCTCCTTCCTGATCACTGGCTTCATCGGCAGTTCCGCTAGTGACATTCTTCGAGCTTTCGTTCAGAGTTGCAGGCGATATCGAGGGCCCGGGATCTGAAGGGGAAGGCCTAGGCCGACGATGCTTCGAGGGGAAGAGCTTGCGAGAGAACTGCTCGAATGGTTTTGTCAGTTGGACCACCAAGTCTGCACCCGGTTGGTTTGAGGGGGTCGGATCTAGGTGTAGGTCAATGGTTTCGGTGTCTTCGGGTGAAAGTACCATGATAGCCCATTGTCTGATTCAAATCCTGCCTCTCCAGTATTGTGTCTATGTGTAGTATCGGACAAGGCACAATCACAACTGGTGGGCAAAAGCAGATCTCGAATGACCCCGCAGCGGTCTCCAGTTGCATAAATTTAATGTAACCGCCGCCACAGACTGCAAATAGTATTACGCGACCCAATCAGCACCAACCAACATAGGTTGCAAGCGCCGAGACTCCATAATCCTTGAAATACACCTAGTACCAACATCACGGCGGTTGGGCTGTTCACTAGCCAGTTTTGTGGAACGGAAATATTCAGAAGATGCATAATACCTATCAGATACATCTTGGAAGCCGTAGATCAGTTCAATTCCCGAGTTCAAGCACGTCAATGCCAGTGAAGTACTCTTACTTTTGACTGATCATCTTCATTTAAATTATGGCACAGAGAATTCACGAATTTGTTTGCAACCTGGTAACGCAACGGGATCTTATTACGTCAGTAATATTGTGATAAGCGTAGACATGGATCTACTCAGGGACTACCTGAATTTCTGAAGTGCCGAGGCTTGTTGCAATGTCTCCTACTTCCTTCACAGTCCCGCCTGTCGTAGTGAAGTCCTCATCATCATCTCGGATAGGGACATACTTCTCGGTCAAGTACGTAAAGTCGTCAAAGGCACTAAGAAATAATGTTGAGTTATGACCTCAAACCGTCATCGCAGATATAACTTGGAAAGGCGTAAATCAAACATACAGCTGTCTGGCTCTAGAGCCCTTGAAACATGCCGAATGCATAAAGTTGGTCTTTGCACTGTACAACCGATTCCGGTCGTCCCACTCCTCTTTAGGTTCGCTCGCCTCAAAATGGCGCAGGTATTCGCGGCGGTAGACTTCGGCACGCAGCTGATGACGCTCAGCGCGCCAGATTCCCAGTTCCATCTCATTATGCGCATAGTAGGCCGCACAATCGAAGATCCATGGGTCACCGGTGGAAGCTTCGGTACCAATATTACCGTCCCACATGTCGCCGTGGATCAGGACTGGGTCGACGCGACGGCCGTCAGCCTCGAGTGCTCCGATCAGGCGGGGAATAAGATGTGACTGCACACGACGGTACAAAGTATCCAGCTCGGGCCAAAGACCATTAGTCTCTGTATCCTGACGATATGCCTCTGCCAGTAGCTTCGAGAAGAACAAAGTCCAGCTCGGGTCCCAGTCAATAGCCTGGATACGAGCGCCATCAAAGGTCTGAATCGGGAATCCGAATTTTCCCGTCGGAGATGAGCTATTGCGGTGCAGCGCTGCTACACGGGCGCCCAGCTTGGCCGGATCTGGTAGGCCCGGAGTGAACTCCTTGAACTCCACCAGCAGAAAGTGGCTCAGCGGCGAAACGCTACGAAGCTTTCCCCAACCAATCGGCCGCGGAACAAAGCTGGGCGCAGCCTTGTAGAGTTCCCGCATCCCGACGAACTCGCCTTCGAGTTGCCGCCGACCTATGTCACCGGGCACATACTACCCAGACGTAGCGACTTAGCCTTCATAGACCCGCTGAGATGCAACCGAGAGGCAAACCTTAAGAAAGAATGGCGTATGTTTCCCATTCTTATCAAGGGTATTGATCTTTGCCGTAATGGACCAAGTGGACTGTCCGAAGCGATGGCCACTGAGTATCGTTGTACCCTCGGGCAAGACTGAGTCAAGGAACATCAGTCAGAACGTGATCTTTGTGGGATTTGGAGCAGAACTCCTCACATTCGCGAATAGCATCATCAATAGGTACTTCTCCGGTCAGAGACGAGCCGAGCGAATCCACCTGTTCCTTTAGATTTTCGCCCTCGAAATTGCCCATATTGAAACTTTGAATCCTTACGGCCCTCAATAACTCAGCGTCAACACTGGAAACGGCCTGGGAACCGCCGCAACTCGGACCAGGAGGATAAAAATAGCAGACTCTCAGGTAAGACACTGTGGGAGCGGGGAAGGTCGCGCTGAAGCGCCCAGGCTCTGCTGTTGGAACAGGGAATAGGTTCGGCGCTTGCAGAGCCAGTCAAATGTCGATGCAGTAGCCCATCATGCCCATATAAATCAACCCCGCCTAACGAATCTCGAGAATTGGAGAGGAAATCATTGACATGCGCAGGTGCAATCAGAACAGCGAAATCAGAGAAAAATGAGCTCGAAAGCCGAAGATGTCGTCGAATCTCCGCCCAACGAGGCCGCAACTGCCTCTGACGCTGTCATAACTCCCATCTTCACCCCGTGGCAAAAAAGATGGATCGTCTTCTTGGCCGCGTCTGCCGCCATGTTTTCGCCAATGAGCAGCTTCATCTTCTACCCAGCCATAAAGATGATTGCCGATAGTCTCGATGTGACGATAGGGCTTGTGAACCTCGCCATCACGACCTACATGATTGTGTCGGGCATCGTCCCAGCTCTGCTCGGGAACGCCGCCGACAAGTTTGGAAGGCGTCCGATCTACATACTCGCATTATCGCTGTACTTCGTGGCTAACCTCGGCCTTGCTCTGCAAAACACGTATGCGGGGCTGCTTGTTCTTCGGATGTTGCAGAGTGCTGGCAGTTCTGGTTTGTTGCCTATCTTCATCAAGATTTTAGCTTGAAAGGTGGTCTTGCATCTCTGGCTGGAAGACTAACTCGGCTTTTCACTGGCACAGGAACCATCTCACTTGGCTACGGCATTATTTCTGACATAACGAGCCGGGCTGAACGCGGTTCCTATGTTGGTGTGATGCTTCTTGGGTGAGCAACTTGCCAGATTGTTGTCACAAAGCTATATTGACCAGAGCCAATAGTCCGAACGTAGCACCGCCGGTCGGACCAGTCCTGGGAGGTGCCGTAGGCGCGAATCTGGGATGGAAGTGGATATTTTGGCTGCTGTGCATTCTAGGTGGCGCGTGCTTGGTCTTGATCCTACTGGCATTGCCAGAGACATGCCACGTCATCATTGGTGATGGGAACCTCCCTCTGAAGGGCATCTATCGTACACCTATCACGTCCGTCAGGCACCATCGCAAAGACAACAGAGCAATCGAGGAGGTGACGGCAGCGTTGCGTGCGGAGCGTGTCTCCAAGTCGATCTGGCCAAATCCAGTGGCCTGCCTCAAGCTCCTCCTTCTCAAGGATGTAGCTGTTGTGCTCATATGCAACGGGATATACTATACCATTTACTGCAGTATTCAGGCCTCGCTCTCGACTCTTTTCATAGAGATCTACAAGTATCAACCTTTAGAAGCTGGTCTGATCTACATCCCTTTCGGAATCGCCTGTCTCTTCGGGACGTTCATCTGGGGTGAAAGATATATCAAACCCAAACACGGTCAGGTCTTCCGCGCTAATCTCAAACCAGGTAAAGTTCTAGACTACGATTATTCTCGGGTTGCCAAGAGCTTTGGTGTATCTGCTGAAGAGGTCAGAGGGCGAGAGGCCATAGGCGCGTTCCCCGTCGAGAAGGCGAGACTCGGAAGTGCATTGTACCTCGTGGCCATTAGCACAGTAGGGGTTATTGGCTACGGATGGGCCATTCACTATCATGTGGTAAGTGTGTTCTTGGAATTGTGCTACGCAACCCTGGGTGATGTATTGACAAGACTGTAATAACTAGCATGTCGCTGTCCCGCTTATTCTTCAGGCCTTTGTGGGATTCTCAGGGACAGGTCTCTTTGTGGTAGGATCACTTACCCGGCTGCTCGGTCGAGATACATTGCTTACTTCTCTTAGGCACTAGGGACACTCCTTACCGATCTTAATTCGACCAGACCTTCTACAGCAGCAGCATCGGCAAACCTCGTCCGCTGCGCTCTTGCAGCGACGGCCTTGGCAGTACTTCAACCTATCATTGACCGGGTCGGGGTTGGCTGGTGCTTTACCATCTTTGGGGTTTTGGGCGGTATCTGCGCACCCCTAATGATCTGGGCGATTCGGTGTGGCGGAAGTTGCAGACAAAAGAGGGAGATGCCGGGTGAGCCAACTGAAGAGTAAGATGGAACACAACAACCGTTTGCTCTGCAACATATGTCGACACTTTGTCTACTTTAAATAAACAGTAGGCTATGAAAACACCACAAGATTCCATGTACTAAACCCCTTTAGATGCCTCAGACCAGTTGCACGACCACTTGCTCGTCGGTTGTGGCAGCTACCAACATCCCGACCAGCTGAAAAACCCACATCTCAACTCTCTCCAACAGGTCTCCAACAGTTGGCAGAGATCAGCCATGCAAGGACCGTCCCATCACAAAGCTGCTCCACCTTCAGAATCGGAATCTGTCTCATCTATTTTGAAATGAATCATTTCGTTCAGAATGTCAGCTAACAATCTTCATCCGGTTTGCATGACCCTCTTGCCGGGTGATGCACATACTCTGAACCTCCCCAGTCAAGGCGTCAGAACCGTTCCAAGTATCTGCCGACCGACTCAGGCCAGTGACCGAGTTTGCGTGGCGAAAGGCCAAAGTCTTGTTCTCTCTCAGTCGTCGAAAGAACGCATCTCCCAAAGCTCTGATTAGTGGGTTCATGACATTCCGTTGTTCCGGAAAGGATGGGTCTTGGGACCCAAGGGGAAGTGCAAACGGGCCCCAATTGAGGTAGACTTGTTCATGCGATTCGGGTTCCACCGGATTTGCAGGATGATAGCGAAAGTACAGTTTGCAGCAGAAGCAAGAGAACTTGCTGGTACCGATAAAGCGATCATCGTCCACAAAATGCAGGCCATTCCTGTGGAAGTGGTCCAGGACCTGCACTTCCGAATGAACTATTGGGCGTTGCTGGGTCTGAAGCATGTCGTAATGCTCCATAATCTTTGACTCGTGATTGGTATGCTCATCCAGGCGAGAGAATGTTTGCTGAATCTCTTCCAACTCGGAGCCTCCGCTTGAGGACATCCTCCTAAGGATGCCTTGGAGATTGGTGTGAGAATCAGATTTTGGTGGTGAAGCACACACCGCAGGCTCGATCGCAGATGCTTTGCATTCATCAAGAATGTGGGCCATACGTAAGGCATCCTCAACAAGTTGTTTAGAGATACGGATGTGTTCTGCAAGCCTTCCGACAAAATGCCGAATAGTATGGAACTTCCCTGTCAAACTTTCAGAACCTGGATCGCCTTGAACCTCTTGGCCAAGTCGTCGAAGGGTGTCCATCTCCGGATCATGTCGGGCATAATATGCCACCCTGCATCGGTCATATCCGGTTTCTAAGGGTCCAAACTTAAATTTTGGAAGCCAATCCTTTAGTTGAAGTATGTCTGGTTGATGGTCAGATTTGGCGCTGTGGTCTGTGACAAGCACTCACCCCGTTTGGGAATATCTTTTTCATCGTGAGGCGGCTTCTCCAAATGTTCAAGACACTTTTCGACCGTATTTGAAAGAATGCGTGCTTCTTTCTTGATTCTCCGAGCGGCAAACTTCGTGCACTCCTGAGCGCACGCATCCTCCTGGCCATCAAGCCACGAATGGTTGGGGTCTGACACTCTGGATATGCCTCTAAGGCGGTGCAAAATAGATCTCAGAAAGTCCATCAAACGGCCTTGATTGCGAGGGTCGTTAGTCGCCACCCAGAACACATATGATGAAGTAGAATCTTCGATGCCAATAGATGTAGTCGTCTTGCCGCCCTTGTCATAGTCGCAAATGTATGCAAGATTGCGACTTAGCCGGCGGCGACAGGCGGCCACACTGCCATCATGATGGATAACGAGATGCGGTCCTTGGACTGGCTGCTCAAGCCATAACAAAACCATAGCCTCGTAAAGTCTGTGAAGAAGTCTTTCGTACTTGTCGAGGCGAGGCTTGCCAACCTTCCGAGGCGAGTTCGAAATAGACGACGGCATGGCAATGATATGGACGACCAATAGGTTGAGATCGAGAAGTCTTTTGGCGAAAGAAGTGATGTGGCCTGGTACAGACCATCCAACTGTGTTTTATCTTCCCGAAATCTATATCCCGTCCCATGGCGAGAGTGGTGTCGATGGAGCGGTGGCCAATACCGCAACTCTGCTTTATCAACACCTGAATGTATGACCTCAGAGGCTTGCCGCACCGCCTCACTCTTCGAATATACTTTTGTCATATGCAAGTAAGTTTAGATGATGAGGCTGGAAGTGCAGAAGTGATAGGCCGTAGCTACTCCAACAGAGCGACTGGCGACGAACAAAGAATGTCATCCCGCTCGGCGGTAGGCCTCTGGCATGATGCAGCCCCACACTTGGTCTGCCTCCCGCCTTGTATCTGATAAGCCCCCAACATGGTGTGGCTCAACACGAGGCTTCGTTCCGCGTTGGTAGGCCTCCAACATGATAAAATCACGTCTTTGGTCTGCCTCCCGCTTGTGAACGAGTTCTAGACTTAGTTAGCACCCTTGAGGTGAGGCTTAGTCTGGGAGCACTGCATGACTAGGCATTCAGCTCAAGCAGGATGAGTTCACCATAGCATATCTCTATGCCAACGTCGACATAGCACGTTTAATTTATCCTGGCTTAAATTCAGAGAAGGAGCACACCCATCCATCGAGTCTAGCCTAAGCAGCCCATCCAGCATCGATTCTCGAAATGAACTGGGATCCTTCGAATAGTACCGATCGAGACGGGTCTACGTCAGCCCCTTCTGGGATGGCTTTGGACTTGCTCCCAGGTATGTATCGTTCGCGTTACAGGTATCACTTTTGCTTTCCAAGAATAATCGGCCGCTCATCGCTTCGAACAGGCTGCCCCACTCTCATGTCGTCTGAAGACGATTGGCACATGGTGTTGTTTGCGAATGGTTCCGCCGATGGGCCTCCTGGTACAGAAGAGCCGACTGGATCTCAGTGTTCTGGCCTGTATTCGCTATTCCAAGATGGTATTGCTGGTGTAGAGAGCCCGAGCCCGCCAGATGCGTACGGCCACACAGTCTTTCCACTCGCGCCGCTAGACTACTTCACCCACCAAGCTATGTCGGACAGCCTCCTTGAGTTTGATACAATCGTTAATCCACAGATGGATTCTTCCACCACTCTTTAGAGTGGCACAACTGTGTTGACTGATGATATTGGCTTCATTTTCGAGACAGCTACCCCTGACGAAGCATTGGAGGAGTGCGTGCAATCACATTCATTTTATTCTCATCACGCCGACGAGATTGTGGCTGGGAAGGATATTGGCAAGACTTTTGACGAGGTGAGACTTTCTTATCCTGGAAAGGATGAGTTTGTCGCGGACGGCATGTTTCGTTGCAACCGTCTCGGCTGTTCCGATAGCTTTCAGACGAGCCGAGACAGGAAGTGAGTGTTCTTCCTCCTTGAGCCCGTTCACAACTGTACTTATACTGATAACGCCTAGTAAACACATTCGCGAAGCAGAAAAGCCCGTGTTGTGCCCATTTTGCGACTGTAGGATGGCTTACCAGCCATACATGAAGAGACATGCCCGAACGCATGGTGCCCCACAGTCCTTTAGTTGCTCGATCTGCACCACTTCATTCACCCGAAGAGACAATCTGGAGAGGCACCTGAGAAAGCACTGAGCGCTTGTTGGCTGTATTCATGTTATTGATTTTCAGACCTGGTTTTGAAGTCTAGTTCGATTTATCAACGGTGAGGTTTCAGAGGTTGCATTGTACACAGTTCAACAATCTAGTCGCTCATTTATACCCCTCACAACGAATCGAAACGGAACTAATTTTCCATCATTACTCAAAATGAGTGCAGCTGAATTCACATCCCATCAGTAGATTGGCCTGTCCTTCGAATAACGACACACGCATGTTAGTAAGCTGAAGTGTCGACCGAGAAAATGAGCCTCCCACACTCTTTGGAAGGGCGCCTACACTGGAGTCCCCTTGTCCAGCATCTTGTCGTTCGTTCAGGCCAGAACGCTTACATCATGGTGGATTTAGATGGGAAATCCTCCTCAGAAACTTCTTCCGTGTTTGGCTCAGTGGCTCAGGAGTGCCCATCAACCAGTCTCCACAGTCAGAGGTCGCTCGTTTCGGGTTTAGCGGACTTTGGTGCCTACCCTTCCTTGCGTCTTACTCGTGTCATCCTTGAATCCTTCATCACAAATCAGACTTAAATCATTTTCCTTATCTCAAGCCATCCTAACGGAATCTTGGTTGGATCATTGAGCTGAATGAGTTGACAACTCAAACGAAGGGGCTCGCTGACCAATATCATACCATTCTCTCTACTTCCACCGGATATGAAAAGCGGGAAGGAGCACTGCTGGACGAAGCGAGCAAACACCGACATCCAGGCTAGCTTGTACAAACAGGCAGTACTGTCATAGTATTGCGGTTTCATTTGAATGTATACCAGCCAGACGCATGGACACACGGCAGGCTATGAATGGGACGGATCGGAACCTCAGCGCGGCCGATATCGAGGCCCAGCGGCGTCAGCGCAAGCGCACACAGAACAGGATAAACCAGCGAGCTCACAGTAAGTTCCGCAGTGTCTCAGCCTCCTTCATACCTAGAATAGGTGGAAACGGCCTTCTCTCCCTATAATGACTGACCTATGCTTCCCTGTCGCGTGATGTGTAGGACAACGCGCTCAAGCTGAACGCGGGGAGACCAGCAAGAAAAGAAGTAGGCAGCAGCAGCCCTTTCAGGTGAATAGATGGCGGCTCGAGGATGAAGAGTATGAGGCAGACCGCGACGCCCGGGCGGCGGCCTCGGATAGGAACAAGGTCATGGTACGGCGTGGCGACAAGGTGACCTGGGAGACCAATCCAAATTGCACCGAGGCGCCCGGCGCGTTCAGGTTCTTCGCCGATGACGGCACGCCGCTCTCGGTGACCCCGCAGCAGGTAGTGCAGATCGGCATGAGAGGAGGCGTGCCCGCCAACGGCGACCACCTGCTCAACCTGATGAACTACAACGTGACGCGCGGCTTCTCGCAGAACAAGAAGACCGTGCGGTCCATGGCGCGGTACGCCATCCCAGAGGGGCCCGCGGGGCTCGGCGGCGTCATGCCCACCGACATCGTCTTCCCAGGGTTCGCAACGGTGTCGGACCCGGCGCCGCAGCTGCCCGAGACGCTGCGGCCGACGCTCAAGCAGCAGAAGGTAATCCACTCGACGTGGATCGACTTGATCCCCTTCCCGCGTATGCGGGACAACCTGATCAAGTGGGAAGCGCACTTCGACCACTTCGACTTTGCGATGGACATCACGGGCATGTACTCGTCGTGGCGGGCGATGCCCATCTCCAACTCGGCCGAGGGGAGGCCCGTCGCGGTCAGGCAGCACGTGCTGCTGCCGTACACGGACGACGAGGTCACGGTCGACCGGAGGGGCTTGGTGGTCTGGGGGGAACCGCACGTGCTGGAGAACTGGGAGGCGACGCCGGGGTTTTATAAGAAGTGGTGGTGGGCTGTGGAGGGGTGCGACGAGCTGCTCGAGTCGACAAACAAGTGGCGGAGGATTCGAGGCGAGGAGCCGCTGCGGTTCGCGCCCGTTGACGAGGAGCCGCCGAGGCTGGCCGTGGCGGAGGTGGAGGAGCTCATATGACGGGGATGAGTGATGATCTGAGGATCGAGATAGGGAACCACATTGGACGCGGAGATGAATGGGCTTGTACGGGTTTGAAGATGCTGATAATGTACACCCGTGGATTCCGGCACTGGGTCACTTTGAACATAAGACGCAGACCACAACTGCAACCAAGAACAGGCTAATCACATGGAAGAAGCCATTTGCATCGCAGAGTCAATATGAACCATCAGAAGCTTGGTCTGTGAGAGAGTTGAGTGTCGCTTCGGTCACGACTGGAGTTTTGGGTACAACACGGAGTATCTGTTCAGGTACACGCAGGGGCCAGTACGCACTAATCCCAAACCGGACTGGCGGCCCTCTCTTCGTGCCTGGCCAATGGCGTCGGGACCTCAGGTGTCAAGGACAAGTCCAGTCAGCACGGACCTCGGCCAGAAGGGGACTAGCGGCAGGCAGCCTGTCGTTATTCGCCTTCAGCCGTGCCTCCTGGGACAAAGACAACAAAAAAACTGCTAGTGAGGCAGTTGCATGAGCTTTGAGGCAGCTAAACCTCTCCCTCTACTCTTTGCGCTTCTCACCACCTTTCTCCATCCCCCCGATCCTGGTCAACGCTTGGTGTCCCATCCCACGACATCCAACACCAAGGGGCGATTACTCTGGCCACTTTCTGCGTTTCTGTTCCTTGCTTTCTCGCATGCGCCCTGCGTCTCCTGTCTTGTGAGCAGAGAGGGAGGCATCGCGCGTCGCGCGCAGCTTGAATTTCTAATCCACTCCGAAACCACATCTCGCCCCCCCTCCTCCTCACAACTGCCTCATTACCCCGGCCACCTGCCACATCACGACCTTGTGGCTATCGAGCCAGCCCACCCGAGGCTTGTCTGTTGAAGTCGTCCTCGATTCGACAGAGGCCCCTCTCGGATAGGATCTATCATCTGCATCTCACCCTGCAGCCACCGCCACGATGGCCGACTTCAACAATGACGACTACGAGTACGAGGAGTTCGCCGATGAGGCCGATGAGAGCATCACCCCCGAAGATTGCTGGACGGTCATCTCGGCGTACTTCGAGAAGAAAGGCCTTGTCTCCCAGCAGATCGACTCCTTCAACGAGTTTACGACGACCACCGTCCAGTCACTCGTCGACGAGTACTCCCACCTGACTCTCGACCAGACCAACCCTCCCTCGACCGCCGACCGAGTCATCAAGATGCGCCGTTACGAGATCAAGTTTGGAAAAGTCCTGGTGGCCAAGCCTACCATGTCCGAGGCCGATGGTCAAATCTCGACGCTTGTGCCCTACGAATGCCGCGATCGAAACTTGACGTACTCGTGCCCCCTCTACGCCAAGATCACCAAGAAAGTGTCTGTCGCTATCGAAGAGCCCATCTCTGAAGAGGAGCTGGACCCCGAGCAGCAGGCCGAGTACAAGATGACCCACGAGCTGCCTACGCGATATCGATGGGAGGAAGAATCGAGCGATGATGCCGATGCTAAGGAGAAGGCAGGCAACGAGAGAGATAGAGTTTTCATCGGCAAACTGCCTATCATGACAAAATCCAAGATTTGCCATCTAGAGCAGGAGGACGAGGACGGACTGTTTCTGCTCAACGAGTGCCCGTACGACCAAGGCGGTTACTTCATCATCAACGGTTCGGAGAAGGTCTTGATTGCGCAGGAGCGTTCGGCTGCCAACATCGTCCAAGTCTTCAAGAAGGCTCAGCCCAGCAAGTTCTCCTACACGGCCGAAATCCGGAGCGCTCTCGAGAAGGGCTCTCGCCTGATTTCGTCACTCTCGATCATGCTTCTGAACAAGCCCGACACGAGACAAGGCTTCGGCCACACCATCCAGTCCACCCTGCCGTATATCAAGGACCAACTACCCATCGGTATCGTCTTCCGTGCCCTGGGTGTTGTCTCTGACGAGGACATTCTGAACCACATCTGCTACGACCGAAACGATAGCCAGATGCTGGAGATGCTCCGACCCTGCATCGAGGAGGCTTTCTGTATCCAGGACCGAGAGGTCGCCCTGGACTTCATCGGCAAGCGTGGCCAGAACGCGCAGGGCATCAGCAAGAGGGACCGTGTCCGCGCCGCGCGTGACATCCTGCAGAAGGAGATGCTGCCTCATATCTCTCAGAGCGAGGGTTGCGAGACCCGCAAGGCCTTTTTCTTGGGCTACATGGTGCACAAGCTGCTCCAGTGTGCTCTCGGTCGCCGCGACATCGATGACCGTGATCACTTTGGAAAGAAACGTCTGGACCTTGCTGGTCCTCTACTGGCCAAGCTCTTCCGCAACATCATCCGCAAGATGACCTCCGAGCTGATGACCTACCTGAGGCGTTGCATCAACGACGGCAAGTACTTCGACTTGAACGTGGGTGTGCGACACCAGACCCTGACCAACGGACTTAAATACTCTCTCGCCACCGGCAACTGGGGTGATCAGAAGAAGGCCATGAGCTCGACGGCAGGTGTCTCACAGGTGTTGAACCGATACACCTTCGCATCAACCCTGTCTCATTTGAGGCGTACCAACACTCCTATCGGTCGAGACGGAAAGCTGGCTAAGCCTCGCCAGCTGCACAACACCCACTGGGGTTTGGTCTGCCCAGCAGAGACGCCCGAGGGACAGGCTTGTGGCCTGGTGAAGAATTTGTCCTTGATGTGCTACGTCAGTGTGGGAACACCGGCAGAACCGATCGTGGAGTTCATGATTGCGAGGAACATGGAGGTCCTCGAGGAGTACGAGCCGCTGCGATACCCGAATGCCACCAAGATCTTCGTCAACGGTACATGGGTTGGTGTGCACCAGGATCCGAAACATCTTGTCACGCTGGTACAGGGATTACGACGGAAGGGAGTTATTAGCTTTGAGGTCTCTCTGGTCCGTGACATCCGCGATCGAGAGTTCAAGATCTTCTCCGATGCCGGCCGTGTCATGAGACCGTTGTTTGCGGTCGAGCAACAAGACGACGGCGAGAGCGGAGTCTCCAAGGGCTCCCTCATCCTCACCAAGCAGCACATCGCCAACCTCGAACAGGATCAGACAATGCCCAAGAGCGAGGCGTGGGGATGGGACGGACTGGTTCACGCGGGTGCTATCGAGTATCTGGACGCCGAAGAGGAGGAGACATCCATGATCTGCATGACGCCCGAGGATCTCGAGAATTACAAGCTGCAGAAGCAGGGTTACCAGATACCCGACGAAATGGGCGACGGTGACCTCAACAAGCGTCTCAAGACCAAGATGAACCCGACGACGCACATGTACACGCACTGCGAGATCCACCCAAGCATGCTGCTGGGTATCTGTGCCAGCATCATCCCCTTCCCTGATCACAACCAGTCCCCCCGTAACACCTACCAGTCCGCCATGGGTAAACAAGCAATGGGTTTCTTCCTGACCAACTACTCGAGGAGAATGGACACCATGGCCAACATTCTCTACTACCCCCAGAAGCCTCTCGCGACCACGCGGTCAATGGAGTTCCTCAAGTTCCGAGAGCTCCCCGCCGGCCAGAACGCGATCGTCGCCATCGCCTGCTACTCTGGCTACAACCAGGAAGATTCCGTCATCATGAACCAGAGCAGTATCGACCGCGGACTGTTCCGGAGTCTGTTCTTCCGCTCGTACACCGACTCTGAGAAACGGGTCGGCATCAACATTGTCGAGAAGTTCGAGAAGCCGTTCCGCAGCGACACCCTTCGCCTCAAGCACGGGACGTACGACAAGCTCGACGAGGATGGAATCATCGCGCCGGGTGTCCGTGTGTCTGGTGAGGACATCATCATTGGCAAGACGTCACCCATCAATCCCGACAACCAGGAGCTGGGCCAGCGTACCCAGGCGCACGTCAAGCGAGACGCATCGACGCCGCTCCGTAGTACCGAGAGCGGCATCATCGACTCTGTGGTCATGACCACCAACCAGGACGGCCTCAAGTACGTCAAGGTCCGCGTGCGCACGACCAAGATCCCGCAGATTGGAGACAAGTTTGCTTCCCGTCACGGTCAGAAGGGCACTATTGGTGTCACCTACCGGCACGAGGACATGCCCTTCACGCGTGAGGGCATCACCCCGGACATCATCATCAACCCGCACGCCATCCCGTCGCGTATGACCATCGCCCATTTGATTGAGTGCCTGCTGAGCAAGGTGGCGACGCTCAAGGGCATGGAGGGCGACGCGACGCCCTTTACCGACGTGACGGTCGACTCGGTGTCGACGCTGCTGCGGCAGCACGGCTACCAGTCGCGCGGCTTCGAGATCATGTACCACGGCCACACGGGCCGCAAGCTGCGGGCGCAGTGCTTCTTTGGCCCGACCTACTACCAGCGCCTGCGGCACATGGTCGACGACAAGATCCACGCTCGTGCGCGCGGTCCAGTGCAGATCATGACGAGGCAGCCCGTGGAGGGTCGCGCGAGGGACGGCGGTCTGCGTTTCGGAGAGATGGAGCGCGATTGTATGATTGCGCACGGCGCGGCGGCGTTCCTCAAGGAGAGGCTTTTCGAGGTCTCGGACGCGTACAGGGTGCACATCTGCGAGATTTGCGGCCTGATGACGCCCATTGCGTGAGTTTCCCTTCTTTTGCTTTTCTGCGTCGTGAAATGTGTGGAATGTGGGTTTTGCTGACGATGATTGGATACATGCAGGAACCTGACCAAGCAGTCCTTCGAGTGCCGACCGTGCAAGAACAAGACCAAGATTGCGCAGGTGCACATCCCCTACGCGGCCAAGCTGCTGTTCCAGGAGCTGGCGGCCATGAACATCGCGGCGAGGATGTTTACGGACCGGTCCGGCGTTTCGATTCGCTGAGCTGGAAATCGACGCTGCCGACACACGAGAAAGAGGGGGAGGCGTGTGTGTTGTTGTTGTTATTGTGTGTTTTGTTTGGGGCCGTTGTTGACTTTTTCTCACACGGGGCAGAGACAAACGGAAATATCTTTGCGTCTAAGGACGGGATTCAGGGAAAGGGATCGAAGCTCTTGCATTTTCAGTGGCGTTTCTTTTATTTTTTAGTGACCGACTTGTTTGCAGTTGGTCATCATGCAACGAACAAAAAAAGAGAGAGATTGTGACAACGGGAGTTTCTGCACGAGGTAGGAGAGGAAGAGAAGAAGCAAGCAAGCAAGGTTGCGTGAGCCACTCGCAGCTTGCAGCTCAACCGGGTTGCAAAGGTGAAGAGCCTGGCTGCGCAAGTTTTGAGGAGTCTTGAGAAGAAGACCGATTTTTGGTGGCTTTTATCTCGAGATAGCTCATGATTATGTACCAATAATTGAAGAAACGTAAAAAAGAATGACGTATCGAGAAATGCATGTTCTTTTTTTGGGTCATCAACTTGCTCGGTTTTGCTTTCCACAGTCGTTGATGGTTTGGCACCACTAGAATGGGGTATCGTTCTATTGATTCGTGTTGGAGATTCGTTACAGTGTTTCTGTACAGGATTGTGTACTGATACAGATCTGTGTACATGTATAAATACAGGATATTACATGGAGACCTCGTCGTGCGGATGTTCTTGCTCCCCGTGTGAGCATTGTTCAAAGCGGCGCGTGCTGGTTGCTGGTCAGGCCATGGCTCCCTTCCCGCCCGCCGAAACTCTCAATCGACCACCCCCCCCCCCCCCCCCCCCCCCCTCCTCCAGCTCGGGCATGGCTCCCACATGTCGAATGAATGCGGGCCCTTCTGCTGTCTGCTGATCGCTGCATGCCTGGCTCATCTATACGAGATCATGGGACATAAGTATACAGATAAGTTATTACATGGTTACGTCATGAGGCATATATGCCGGTCGGGTTGCGCTCGACAAATGGCAAGACGCGGGGACGCCCCCATCGGCTTGGGTCCCTCGTAGGATGAGTGAAAGCGGGCGGCCGGGGGTGGGAACGTTTAAGCTTGATCTCCAAACAGCGTTGTTTGGGAAGGGGCTGCGGAGAGGGTGAACGATAGTTGTCGAATATTCCCGAGGGTAGTAATGCTGATCCGTGGGGTTTCCGTCTATATCCTGATTCGGATTGATGTCGTTGGGAGTGCCACCACGGCTTGCGGGGTGGGTTCCCCGTCCGCGTTGCGGTGCGGCGCATATTGTCCTGGGATATCTAACTACAAGTAGGGAACGATGAGCTGGCAAGGTAAAGAACGTCCGGGAACTGGCAAATGTAGGTATCTACAAGTAGAAGTGCCGGGTAGGTGACCTGCCCAAGGGGGGCTCGCAGCAGGGTCTCTCTGTGTTTGTGCTAAATAAAGCCAACGAGCAACAACGATGCGCCACTGCGGGAGCGGTAGGAATCTGTCAGATGCAACGCCGCTGATTCCAACCCAAGCCAACGGGCGGCTTTCCGTCAGATCTACGGCGCCGGCGCGCTCTGCAACGGGGCACAGCTGCACAAAACGTTTTGCTCGTTCTGGTAAATACCTACCTTAGCTGGGGCACTTTTGGTCAACTAGTGTGGCCAGCCCCACAACCGGCCACCCCCCTCAACCAGACACCCATCTACAACCTAAACCCGACCAACCCCTATGCCTATTCCCACCTACAGCACCACCAAAAAGCATCGCATTCTGTCGTAAAATGGTTCATTCTGATCGCTAAGAAGAGGCGATTCAGGAGGCGATTAATATAGTTAAAAATAGGGGACTTTTAATATAGAAATCTACTAAAGGTTATAGTATACTTTATTCTACCTTAAGTAATTAACTCTATAGCTTCTAGTTAAAGACCTAGGCTAAAGAGAGCTTATAATATCTTACTTCTAATTAAGAGGACTTCCTAGCTAACTAGATCTTAAATAAGAAATTAGCTGGTTAGGCTCCTATCTTTAAAATAGCCTAAGATTTTACCTCTAAGATCCTTAATACTATAGATAATTCTGATCCTCTAGATAACTACTAGCTTAATACTTTTTTAAGTTATTATTAATATATTAGAAAGAAGTATAATAAATACTTTAAATTTATCTATATTAAATCTATTATAAAAGAGTAGTTAGAGAACTTCTACTAATACTTTAAGTATTATTAAGAAGGAAAGAAGATTAAGTTAAAGGATATTTATAACTTTAATAAAACTAGAGTTTCTATTAGATTAGTTAGAGATAATAAAATATTAGAGATAATACTAATAAGATATATATATATCTAATACTCTAATAACTATAAATAGATAATAATTAAAGAGATAATTTTAGTTAAAGGCTGGTATCTAATCTCTATAGTTATATTTATTAGTAAGGCTCTTTAAGAATAGTAGTTTCTAGTTAAAATTAAAGACTAAAAGTATTTCTATAGTAAAAATAGGTAGATAAATATCTTAATAGCCTATAACTAATTAGATAAGATCTTCTTAAAGAAAACTAAGTTAGATTATCTAATCTATTAGTAGATTCTTATTCTTAATAGCTATATTACCTATATAGACACTGATTTTATATAGAAGGCTTAAAATCAATAGATTTAGTTAATTTATCTATTAGTTTATTTAAGCTATCTAATATAGCTACTTAATATAGCTATTTTTAGACCTTTAAAGACCTATTATATATAAGAGACAGTCTAGCTTAATAGCTATAATTATTTAATCTTTATTTAAAAAAGACACTTTCTTATAGCCTATTTTATAGTATTAAAGAGGGCTTTTATTATAGTTAATATTTATAATAGATTTAGAGGTATAGGGATTTAGTCTTTAAATCTAATAAGAGTTCTAAAGAGTAAAGATATTATAAATAAGACTAAGAGGCTATTAGAGGGCTCTAATAAGGCTAATAGCCAGGCTAAAGAGGCTAGAGAGCTATTTTAATATAATAAGAAGCTATAGAAGACAGTTTATTAGATTAAGATTAGACTAGATCTAGAGTAACTAGATATTCACTCACTACTATCTAAGGCAATTACTAGCTAGGCATGACTGTTTTGCTAGCCAGACATAACCTTAGCCAGGCATAACTTTTTAAGCCCTCTAATTAACTATATTCTTATCTATTAAGAGCTCTTATCTATCTTCTTTTCTGCTAATTTCTACTAGCTAATAAGTCTATATTCTATCTCTAAATAAATAATAAACAATCTATCTTCTATATAATTTATTTCATCTCTTTAGGCACTTCTATAATAAACTCTTCTTAATTATTATTAAACTATATATCTATTCTCTCTTCTTATCCTTAAAATAGATCTCCTTCTACTTAATTAATATTCTCTCTTCTATCTCTATATAATATCCTAACTTTCTATTAATCTAATTATAAACTTATCTTAATCTAATTAATCTTTTTCTCTCTTTAGTCCTCTCTAGACTCTATATATTCTATTTAATTATATAAATATATTATTATCTCTTAAGAATAGATAATATAAATATAAGATAGCTTCTTCTTTATTTAATAAGAATAATTTATAGAAGAAATTAAGTAGTTTAAATAATATTCTTAATATCTCTCTATAATATTAACCTTTAATATTATACTAAACCCTAAGATTCTAGGTCTATTAAAGTTATCTCTTAATATACTTATCATATAAATAAATTGATTTATATATAAGTATAGCTTTAATATTATTAAGTAATAGTAATACTTCTATAAAAACTAAGTATAATATACTACTCTTCTTTATGACTAGTATAGTATATTATATCTAAGTAAATTAGCTAGTCTTTAAGATACACCCTCTTAAAAGATAAATTATATCTAGAAAATTATTATTAAGTAGCCTTTTAATACTAATATTTAGCAGCTATAAATATATCTAGATTCTTAGTATTTCTTCTATAACTATAGACCCTTACTTTATCCTATTGCTTACCCTATTCACTATTATCTTTAACCTAAGTGTGACGATCCTTGATCCCAAGAGGTAAGACTACTTCGTAGGACCGGAGGCGTGTGGGTTTATGTAAGCAGTAAGTGATGGGCGCTGCTGAGCAATGGTGGGTGACTTGATCGTAGCTAAGAT